GTGTGCGTGTGCGTGTGTGTGTGTGTGACGAATGACGGCGTGCTGGCAAGGCGATCATTATGGAGAAAGTTTTCTTATTAAATAACTAAAATAATTAAAATAAAATAATTCACATGTGAACTGATTATACTGGGGCAGTAATTAGTAGTTCCGTATCCTCATAGGTCAACTCCTGAAGCCAATATCTTACTTTCATTTTGCAGTTTATCTTAGTAAGCCTATAGACAGAAAGTTTCGTATTTAATTTATTACAGAGAAAGCAACCAAGAAAGCAAAAGAGGCGTTTAGAAAACTTAGTGTTGAGCCGATAATGACGGCAGTCCACAGGGTTGATTCCTTTTCTCACGAGGCAGAGAGGGGTTAAACGTAAGGAGTCCATGCTGTTTTAGTACCGTTTAATAAGAACAGCTGACAAACAGTTAAAACTTTAGCCTCTTTGTATAAGAGAGAAGTAGGGTACCGAAAAGGGCGGAAAGAAGACACCTTCAGAATAACTCTCTGCGTTGTTTTTAGTTCCAAGATTGTACGTTTTGGAGCACCACACTAAGTAAGTAGGGTTTGGACGAAAGCAAAATAAACTACTTTCGTTAGTTTTTCATCGGCCACGAATCTTAGGGTGCTAAATACGTAATTTACGTAGTCTATTACTTAGAGTGTTTCTCGAAACTTAAGGTGTTATCCAAGATCACACCTAAGTACTTTATACTGTCAACTTTGTGGATGCGCGTGCAGGTACATGCATTGTCATTTTGATTATGACAAGTGTGGGCTATCACCGAAAGCAGATGCATTATATGCATTGTGTGTTATTTATTTCTTAAGGAGAAGGTGATACATTTAGTTTTTTCCGCGTTTAGTGTGAGAACATTATTATGCGGCCACTTCATCACAACATTAAAGCCTGTCTGAGCCTGCGCATATACTTCGTGCCAAGAATTGGCGTTTAAAAGAAGGACAGTATCATCTGCAAAGGTTATAATTTTACCTTTAGGAGGAGTAATCATGCCCAGTTTGTTGATGTACATAAGAAAGAGAGTTGGACCAAGTACACTGCCCTGTGGCACACCGTAGGTGACTGCACACTTTTGCTGATGATCAATCTTAACGCACTGGGTACGATCACTCAGATAGTTCTCGAATAATCTAAGTTGAATACCCCTGATTCCCATTCTTTCCATTTTCCTAATAAGAATAGGCACAGAGACAGTGTCAAAAGCTTTAGCAAGATCCAGAAAAATGCCCAAAACCTTCTGCCCACCGTCCATGTTTGTAACAATAATATAAAATACAATATAAAAATATAGGCTATTATTATTATCTTTGTATGATAGTAAAATCTGACGAATTATTGAAAGTCATGGAACAAAAGTTGTTGTTTATACTGCTAAAATATTGGTTGCAATCAACCAACTTCGTGCAGTTAAGGTTTCGGCTGCATGAAGTTGATTATGACTTCACGCATTAACTGCACACATGCAGTTGATTTGTTAGCAGCCTTATGATATTAGTAATAGTCTTGTTAGTTACCATTTTACAAATAACCTTGTACTTATATGCAATAGGACAATTAAAAATAGTGATTGGTGGAGACAGCAAAGCGAGTAAAAAATGGAATTGACTTTTTTATTATATGCATTCAGCCTATATCTATAATTTCAGTAGTCAATACTATTAATAATTATCTAACAGTTAAAAAATATATATCTTTATACGAAGGTTGCATTCCTACACTTTGTTAATTTGTGTATATTCACTTCAAACTGTGCAAAACGTATGCAATGAGAATAAGGTTTCAAAATCAAATAGCCAAATAAAAAATTGTTATGCTAAAATTTTCAAATTAGCAGAAATAACTTACAAATTGAGCTTGAGTGCAACCCCACAAAACTAGAAGAGCGTCATGTATCATTTTTCAAATAAAATCGTGCACGGATCCGTAGATTTCAGTGTTAATACAAATTACCTGCGACACATCATAACCTTTTATTTGAAAGAAAAACTAAACAAACTATTTATTTTAAACCACTATCAAAATCAAAACAAATCAAATGATTTTCATTCGGTCGTTCTGACATTCACATTCACAAGCACGGACATGATTTTTTTATTTCATTCGCGTGGCAAAGTGGATGGGTACTTAAATCGAATCGATTCACTGTTAAATCGATTATTTTCATTCATTCTAAAATGTTTGCTCTTATTTTTCTCTGGCAATTTTTTTGATTGTGAATGAACTCTGATGCGAATGATAGTGTGGTCCAAAACAAAAAAAAATCAAAGTTGCGCCTGGGCCGATTTCACTCTTCGCCCTACCTCACCCCACCCCCGTTCGACAACCTGTCTACCTGCTAAAGTGCTAAGCGCCGATAAAGCTTAACTTATTCTATAGGTGCTTAGTAAAACTGTGTAGCACTATTGGATAGTTTTTGTATGTGGATAGTCAACAAACTTCAACTTGTTCTATTTCTATGCCACTCATTCACGATCTTTATTTTGTGTGTGTTAGTTGTGAAACTATTCATATTTATAAGGATAAGAACAGGAAATTCCCGTCATTGTTTTAACGTAAAATAACAATGAGTTACTGAATAATTTTACAATGGCCGAAGCAAGTAACAAAAAAGTAAATTTGTCAGTTAATCAAGATGAAAACTTTTGTGTATTCAATGTCTTATGTGTGTTTATATCACTAGTTACAATACTGGCAGATTTAACTACTGGTAAAGTAAAATTATTATAACTATATAGATATATATATGTTATTATCTCGTCAAAATTGGACTATTCTTGTTCAACTATTTGAATCGACATCAGCATCTAAAAAGAATTATGGAACATTTTATTATAAATTATCACTTTATTGTACTTTTTAGCAAGACATGTTTTAGTAACGTATTTTTTTTTCAGTTATACTGGTTTTTGCGGAATATTGCAAAGACGGAGAATTTATCTGGGCGGCTGTGACTTTTACATTTATTCTAGTTCCAAATGTATTGATTAATGCTTTCTCATTGCGATGGTTTATTATTGATCAAAAATCAAGCTTACAACGTTGGATTACTCACGGATTCCTCGTTGGGTTATTGGAAAGGTTAAGTTATCCTACCTCATTGAAACTATATTCTTAATTAGCTAAATTTTCATACTGTGGCAGTTAGTATGTATCACTTTTGTTTTGTTGCAGATATGTATTATTCCTGCGAAAGGTTTTTGCATGTCAAAATTTAGAAGGAACGAAAACGCAAAAATTGTTGGCGCAAAGAAACGACCTAAGTTTATTGCATGTACTGTATATTTTCACAGGAACAATACCTCAAATTATTATACAATCGTATGCACTTACTCTATTGGATCGAAATTACTATACGAAAGGTAAGTCCTGTAGAATAATTAACTGGAGCACTGAGACAGAGACGCCGACGACGATTTTTCCGCGTCGTCGCTGCCGGTAAACTCGACGCGTTGCGGAAAGTTGTTTTATTTTAATGAAGTATTATCAGCTTCTTTGTTAATTACTACTTACTATATTTCAATAAAATGAAAATTGAATAAGAAACATCGACCTACATACACCTATATGTACTAAAATTTAAATTAAGAGCGTTTATTTTTATGTAATTTTTATGTTATGTTCCTTTTACAACTGTTCTTGAAATTGATTTTTAGTATAGGTACAGTCAAGAGCACGTCAAGCTCGACACTTTGTACTTTAGACCGTTCTTATCATATGCGGCATAGAGTTGGATTTAAATCTTAAGTGTCAAGCTTGAAGCCCTATAATATAATATAGTGTAATATATTATATTATATTTGTTTGCATATAATTTGCTGAAGTACAAAACGTTGAAAATGAATCCATGGGTTCAAATCAGAACAATATTTGAGTGTTTTCTTACACATAAAAAGTATATGCCACGCCACTGCCGGTAGAAAAACCATCAGACACCGCCGTCGACGACTTCACGATCAGCGCAAAACTCTAATTCAGACTGATTATTAAAGTTTATTTTCTCCTTGGTTTCAGTTATTGCTCTTACTGTCTCAAATGCTTCAGTCGTATGGGGTTGTTCAACTTATATTTACAGCATTATGGTGTTTCCTAATGGGAAAATTCAATGGCCCTCATTTTTACTCAGATTATTATGGCACTTTGGAATGTTACTTGCAAGAATTTTAGCGATTCTTCTTTTTACTGTAATTTTTGGAACTTGGACTACACTGCCGTTAGGTGAGTAACTCTCATTTCTTTTTCTTTTAGGTGTTTTAACTTCTTTTACTAACAGACATTTATTTCAGGCCTACATTGGATTGCAATGACAGTTTGGATTATTATTCAAGACACAAACTTCTGTCCAAATAAATTGGAAGAGATTCTTTACAATGTTGTGATGGGTTTTGTGTACTGCTTTTGTTATATTAATTTGCGCGAAGGCCACACACGTTATCGTCTAATGATATACTATACATTGATGATAACACAAAATTTCGGAAGTCTGTTCCTATACGTATTGATCTCGGATTCCGAAAAGCAAACTAAATTGTGGTCTGCTACGTCTACAATCTGCATTATCACGGGAACATTTCTTGGTAAAACCACATCAATTTTATTCCTGTCATGTTTTACTTAAATCTATTTTACGATAAAGTTGAACACATTAGAGAGTAATCTGAAGACTTTCTGAAATCTTTGCTCTCCTCAGTTCTGAATAATTTATTTTTGCAGGAATATGTTCCATGATCCTGTACTATAGATATTTTCATTCAAAGGGGCCAATACCTTGGAAATTCGCTCATGTTGACGTAGAACTGAATAATAAAATTACCTCAACCAATTCGCATGCCAATAATCAAAATAATAGTGGATTGAAGTACGTGAGATCTTTTAAAAGTGCTCAAAAAGAGAAGATTCAAAATACAGAAGTCAGGTAAAAATATATAAAATTGTTAACATTATTTTCCTACTAATTGCAACTTTCAAAACGGGGTTTCCTTTACTTTCAGGAATGATAAATCAGAGCCAATACTCCAAATTGAAAATGAGAACACTGATAAGAAATTTCTTTTGGAACATTGGATTGCAAGATCAGGATCACCAACGTTCACATCCGCTCCCGTTGGGAACACAAGTATCAACGTTTCTAGTATAGAGTTGTATTCATTTGAAAATACACCACAATCCGTAAACACACAGAACAAAGTAATTAAGAAAATAACTGTATGTTCACCAACCGAACTAAATTTGAAACTATCGTCACTAGAAAATATGGAAAGCTCGATTGACGAAATCACTTCTAGCAATCTACAGAAACGTCGTGGCATATGTTCGTCAGATGAATTAAGAAACGATTTGACTAATATAAATGTTGAAAATAGGATCATGATCAGTAATGCTTTTAACAAAATTATAAAAACAGAGCAAGGTTCTGAAATGAGTCATGACACGGATGGCTCGAATAAAAAAACTTCTTCTGATTCAATTGACATGGATTTAGATTTAAGTTTTAGTGATATTAACAGTTCAGATATTAATACATTCAATGAAAACATAGTTCAAAAACTGTGCCTAAGTGCTCTAAAGAATATAAAAGGTGGTAATCAAGATGCAGACATTGAAAACATTCAGAAAATAGCTTTGGATATTCTAAAAGAAATGTACGCCAAAAAGGACAGAAATAAAACGAATTTAAAATCATTTTCTTCTAAGCAACGTGACCTGGATACACCAACAGAATTATTATCAGTCCATGATTATGAAAACATTTGCGCCGTTAATATAGCAAGGGAAGCTTGGGGCTTGAGATCTTGGAATGGTTATTGCGACATTGAAAACTGGCTACATGACGGCAGTGTTGTCAGAGACAGGAGACGTGATACTTTAACATCGGCTAGTACTGAAATAAGTAGTTGTGTGTCGCAAGAGTTAAAAAATTCAATTATGACAGCACCGCCTTTTCCAAAAAAGTCTCCTACATATTCGAACGTTTTTGTAAAATTCGATAAGAGTTTTCAAGATGATTATGCTAATTCAGCGAGCTGTCATATGAATGATGAAACATACCTAGCTAAGCCATGCATTACTGATACTAACAAAGATCCAAATCACTTAGAGCCCATCTTGGAAGAACTTGATGATTTAGGTGACGTGGATCCTATTAACAAAAAAAGACTAAATTCTGAAAGTTCTCTTGTAGCAACTATAGACGAAATCAGAAAGGCAACCGTGACAAATTCACCGCGAAACTTGTATCACAGAACTGATATATGGGAATCTCCTCAATTCAATAGTTCAGCAAAACTAGAAAGTAATTTAAAACGAGCTTTATGGAAGGAACCTTCTAAATTCAACTCCAGTAATATTATGGAGTCGCTACCAGAAAAAGAAAATATTTTGAATGAGCATAGTTCAAAGTTTGACATAAATAAAAAGGAATTGAATTTGATTGCAGCCTCCTCGTCTTTAGATTTAGACAATCCAGAAAGTGTTTCCATATATAACAAAAACACTAAGAGGCGACAAAAGACTAATTTAATTAATATAAAAAATCATAATAAAAAGAGCAACTGGAGATCTGAACCACACTTACAAGATTTATCAAATAAACATATTGATTTCCTTTGGCAATTAGTCTCAGAAAACTCAGTACCGATGAGTTCAAACGACGACTTGTCTACGAATAGAAGAACATCTTCATTACAATCTTTGATACAGAAAGATGTTCCACTGACTCAAGATAATACACAGTCTTCAAAACCTAACGCCAAAAAAGGCGTAAAAAGCAGGCCCAGGCGTAAATTTTCAATTCTGAGAGAAAGATTTGAACCTAAGATGAATTTTAATTCAGATGAAGAAATTCTATATAGTTATTCAGATAGTACATCCAAACAAGGGAATGCAAATTTTGTAAACATAAAAAATCAATTTAACGTAAATGATAAAACTCGGACCGAAGCCCAGAATGTCTCCGCTAATTTAAGTAACGTAGATACTCGGGCGACAGATTCAGATATGTCTCGAAGCATTAAAGAAAAACGGACTCTATTTATGAAACAAGTTTTGAGCCCACCGAAATTTAACACTAAATTAAGATACAAAGTGTAATTATGTGATAGATTACGTATACTGTGAGTTTTGTTCCTTTTAGCATTTATTTTGTATAGTTTTCCATAATTATTTTCTAAGAAGTTGTTTACTTTAGTGAGTTATTCTGAAAACGGATCTCATCACAATGTAGTCATTTTATTGCGATACTGTTTGTTCCAAGTGAGGTCTTTCAGTTTTAGTTGTTTGTATCACTAAAACAAAATTGTTTGAATTGTGCCGATGAGGGCAAAATAATCGAGAAAGTATACATGTGTGTGTACAAAGTTGTGATAGTAGCAGCGTCACTCATTATAGGTATGCAATATGAAGTTACACAGTATCTCATGCTTAACTTTGAGTCTGTGATGTAATTATGTGCTTATCTATACGGAGCACAAGCCATTTTATTGTTAATATGGATCATTATTTTAATAATAAAATAAAATAGGCAAATATGCTGTTATTTCATTTTGGACAATATAGGGAAAGATAAATTAAAGTTATTAAAACACAAGTATTATAATAGTTAATAATTTATTAAATCACTTTTATTTGCACCTGTTCTGAAGCTAAACTTCTTGTTTACTTTCTTATTTATATGAACTAATAATTTAATTTACAACTAGTTAAATCTGCTCATAGCATAATATTATGTAGGTACTTACAAGTAATTTTCAATAATTCACCTACTTATTTTTTTTTAAAAGCTATATATAAAATTTCAAACAAACAAAATTTTGTGACTTAAAGATAAAAATATTTTCAAGGATAAAATGCAATATACATTAACTATTATTCGATGGTCCGCATTAAATATAGATTAAAATAGAAACAATGTCTTTAATAAAATTAATAACAAAACCAAAGGTAAACTAAAAAGTTATTAAACTAGAAGAAAAAAACCTTAACAATAATAAGTTTATCTAAATTTTATATTATTAAAAATAAAGCCATTCAGTTGCCCAGCAAAGTGAAGCTTATTATTAATACAATCTAAAATAAATAAAAGGGCAAGTATAAAAATAAAAAACAGCTGACTGCTAACTGCCACCACTGATAAACATAAAGTGTTTGTGTACGTAAATGACAACTAATTCACTAAACCGAAATGGTAACAGTGTTCTGTGCACAATTTAATAACTATTAACAGCAAACTAAAAAAAATTAAATGCTTACAGATCAGTTGTCATAACATTAGTAAGAAGCCGAATGCGATGAGCGTTGCATGTTTTACAGAGGATGTGATTATCAAGTGGGTAACATCCCCGGCCTTCCGCTTCAGAGGAAAGCAATATACCGCAATCTTCACAGCGATAACATTTTACATGAAAACTGCGATCTAATGCTACTACCCTTACGGTCTCTTCTTCGCCTTCCTCTGGCATTATTGGAAGTTCACAAACACAACAGCGAGGAGCAAATTTCTTATGGAAATCTTCAATACAGTGGATCTGATTCATGGCATCAACAGTAAAAGGTATACCATCCAGACTTTTTCCACACGCAACACAAGTAAAGCATTTAGGGTGATATGGTTTGCCTGTAGCTCTTAAAATTCGGTCTAGGATAGGTTTATTGCAAACTGAACATTTTTCTAAAGTTTCATAGTAATCAAGTTCACAAAAAGGTTGACCTTCAACAGCGTAAAATGGTTTGCCCTGAAGGTTGACTTTACAGCGATGGCAATAAAAACATTTAACATGATATAAATTTCCCATTGCAGTACATCCAGAGCTTTCTCCTACAACTTTATCATCACATTTTACGCATATGCCAAATACATCTAAATCTTGACCATCTGAAATAGATTGAACCAAAAGATTTGTTAAGGCATCCACTTCTTCTTCTTTCGGAAGGGGCGATTTTGTCACGCTAGGTATATTCCGATAATTTTGTAAGGAATTGTTAGTTTGAGCTGACAGGTTACTCGGAGGGCGAGGATTTATCGGCTCGTAGATAGATTCGTATGTTGATGCCTGTGATGTTCCATACACAGGATAGTCATTCTGATAAATAGGAGGATAAGCTGGTCTTTCTTGATTGTAATTCAAATTTGCAGTGGCTCGGGCCAATTCACTATAGTTAGAACTGACCGGAGATGGTGGTGGTAAATATTCTTCACTGTTGTGTTTGGAATCAAATGATTTAGTAATATTCATGTGAAGCGATGATGTTGGAGGTAAAGGTGGTGGTGGTGGTGGTGGCAGTTGGTCTCCAGTATTTCGATATGGTGGAATGTTGCTGTATGTTGCAAGATGACTGTTAGGCGGCGAAGGTAAATTTTGTCGGTAAGGGTTACTCGGCGATGACATATTCGAACGGTTTATATTTACATAGTCTTCACTTGGACGTGTACTGTTATTGGTGTATGAATTGTCGTAATTAGACAAATTTGCGTTAAAAATTGGAGATATTTTAGTAGAATATGAGGGCTCACGCAGACTATTTACTGCAGCACTGTGGGGAACTTGTGGTTGAGCCTTCTTTTTTGGTGGAACAGCTGGTGGTATCTTTTTTATTTTGGCGGATGCACTTATCTCTGCAGTCATTTGCAAATCGGCTAATTGCCTTTCTAAAGCGTCAACGTTATCAATACGTGACATTTTTTAGTCCTTCTTGACCTGATTAATATATTTCGTAAAGTTATAATGTTTTCTTTTGTTATAAAATAAAAAGAACACTGGACGCTTTATGCACTAGTTGAAATAATGCTCTAAAAAGTAATTACATTTTATGTAAAAAATATTCACTCACTATCTCCGTTTTAACAAATAATTCTGCGTATGCGTCAGTCAGTCAATGACACATACATGATGGCATTTTATAGTCACGTTCGCGAAATATAAAATCGATTCTATACAAAATCGATTAGAATTCGAATGGCAACGCTATAAATAAATAGAATGAATGAATTTATGTTGTGACTGAATGATTGATTTTCTTCTACATGCGTGTGTTGTTCACTTCGTTCATGTTGATTATATTGTATGCATTGGTCATTGGTGCACAAATTCAAAGATTATTGCTCAAACATAACGTATGATCTATGGATTATTGGTTAATGCGGTGTGTATGCGTACTGGGTTATAGTCACACTCTCACACCGGGTACTTCTCGTACAATTTCAATTGAAGTTCAAAACTGTTTTTATTTCAGCGTCTAGTACCATCAAAATTTCTTAATATTTTAAATTAAAATAAAGGTTAAAGAAATGGCTATGCAGTGTCAATTATGGATGGGCAGTGTAAGTGTTTGTGAAGTTTTAGTTGCAACTTTAGGTTTGCAAGCTCTTTCGACTTGGTCATTGAATTTTCATGATGTAGCAAGTTATTTACCATGCACGGCAATGTCTAGGCCGCTTATCTATATGTAGTGTTTAAATTTTTCTCAAGAGACAGATTACGATACTCTCCATTGGCCCAGTTCGGTTAGCGAAGCTCTATTTTTACATCTCTAGCGTTTACCTCTAAGGAGGCACTAGGATCATAATCTAACCCTGTCCCAAAGCACATTAGGTATCTATAATGTCTTAGAAAAAAAAATCTGTCGTCTTCAGGTTTTCTTAATGTGTGCGCCCATGGCTGTGTTCATCAACATTATGTATCAATTTGTTATTCTTAATTTAATTTGTCGTACCATTTCAGCTGGAGCCCAACATGACTGAGAGTTTCATTATGGCCGCATTCCATCGCATGGGTCAACGTCCACTGGCTGTTAAGGTGATGAGAAACAAATTTACTGGAGAACCCGCTGGGTATGCTTTTGTACACTTCCAGGTGAGAAATATGTTTATTTGCCTCTATTTTTGTATCCTTTATTTTGCATACCAATACTTGCCACTTACTTACTTACCAATTCTACGTAACTTATCCTAGGTATTGTTGTAACTAACTTTATATTGTTTAGAAGACTAAGTTTTAATGTAGTATTAACAATTTTATATATAAGTTTTAGTAGCAGAAATAAAAAGAAGAATGTTTGAGTACAGTAACATCTAAAGGTGTTAAAATGTAAAAGTCGTAATGTATTTTTAAGTACAAAGGGCTTTTTTGTTGGCCATGACCTCTGACATTCCCATCCTGGCTTGACATTGACTCAATAGACACCCTATTATATAAACAATTACCAAACAAGGATAACCTTAATAAAAGTCAAATGATGTATTTTATCAAACAGTAAAGTGTCTTGCTGATTCATGCTGAATAAATTAATATTTCTTGCATAAAATTACAGACTGACGAAGAAGCAATTGATGCAATGCACAAACTAAATGGCAAACCAATCCCTGGCACATTTCCAGTAGTCCGATTCAGGCTGAACACAGCCTCAAGAGAGGCACGAGCAAATATGCAGACTGAAAGAGAATTTTCAGTGTGGGTAGGAGACCTCAGTCCTGATGTTGATGATTATTCGTTGTACAGAGTTTTCGCTTCTAAGTATAATTCTATTAAAACTGCTAAAGGTGAGTTCTTAATCTAGAGTAGATAAAAATATGTATAGGTAAAATCAACACGGCACATTTTGTTTGTTTTTGAGCCATCTTCATGGTTGCAATTTCTGAAGTGATTATATGTGATTTTGCTAACAAAGAAAAAAGTCTACACTAGAAAAGGCAAACTAGAAGCAGAATAGTTACTGAAACATTTATAAATTACATCAACTTCACAATTCCAGTAATACTCGACAGTTCAGGCTACACAAAAGGCTATGGTTTTGTCAGATTCGGAAATGAAGATGAACAACGTAATGCTCTATACGCAATGAATGGTTACAATGGTCTCGGCACAAAGCCACTTAAGATTTGTACTGCAGTACCGAAACCTAAAGGTGCGGCGGCTACGCAAGCTCAATCTCCTGCAGCATCAGGGTCTGGGCCCTCCTACAGTAGCGGGACGGTATGAATTTTTTTATATAATGTCTGATTTGGAGGGAAGGATATTTTATAAAGGCTTACAGAGCACAAAGAGCAGTTTGGTGCATTTTTTATGTCTCTATTAATATATTAGGTTAAAGATATGACAGAATTTAACTGTAGGTGCTTAGATATTCAATTAACTTAGATATGATATTTACCATAACAATATTTTTGCAATATCAATATTTTTTAAATAACTTAAATTAAGTTTTCAATTGTAACATGTGTGGTGGGCCACATAATGAAAATTACAAATGTCATTTATTTTACTGAAAATTGAAGTCACTGTCATTCATTGTTTCGCAATATGAAAAAATGACTGTTTGTAATACTCAATGTGTGTCCACGCGTTTTTACGTGGACCATAAACGTGTTAAAATTCTGTGTGTTAATGTTAAGCTGCATATGACGCTTGAAATTCATTTAGCTCTTAAGAATTAGCTGCAAACCGTGCTGCAAAATATGCTTGTTTGTTTTAAGAATATATATATATAAAATTATGCATTTAAAGTCTGATTGCCATAATGTTTTTAAAATTGCTCCTATAATAATAATATGGCTAAAGAATTCTACCAGTAAGCTTTGCTAAAAAATAGACAGCTAACAAGTTGGTCAGAAATTTATTGTATCTAAGTTTTTTTTTTGTCTCATTGATATTCCTTCCATGGCTTTTAGATAGTGAATCTTAGTACCTTGAAATATAGTTTACATTAAAAACATGTTAAAATGATTAACGTTTAGAAACATTCACAACATTTTGCGTCCTTGCAAAAGTAGTGACCCAAACCAGTAGAGTATTCAGAATGTTCTTAATTTTTGTTGTCAAAACAAATTTCAAAATTCAATCTTCCTGATGAATTAGCCGTTTTTCAATTAGACCACTGTTCTAGACTATTCTATATTTTTTTTTTAAATTTTGAGTCATTATTTTTCAAGTAGTGCCTTAAAAATGTACTTCTTGTATTTTTCGTTCTATATTATTGCTATAATTATTCTAATTTGTCAATTAATAAAGGCTATGGGAGGTAATTAATTTTTCACATTTATTAACCTGGCATGGAATTTTATTCAACACAATTTCTGATCAATAAAAAGCCATTGCATCGTCGCAGATAGCTAGAATTAGCCTGCTTGTCTCAATAAAAAATTAAAGATATTGACGAGCAGTTGTCATTATAGGAGTACAACCAATATTATGATCCGTCTGCCTATTGGCAAAATTACTCAGCGTGGTCTGGCTACTATGGGCAGGGCGACCAGCCGGCCACGACGGCACCGGCACCGGCCGTCGACACCGCGCAAACTGCTGTCGCCAAGGTGCAAAATGACGAGCTCGCGCTTGTCGGTGAGTTTCAAAATGGCTACAAGTAGGAATGAATATTCACATTTTTGTAAAACTTTACAGTCAACCTAACTTCAACTTTACCAAAATTTTGTTAAGTGACCTTAATTTTTTATATTACGGTGGTCGATAACTTAAAATGTTGACTTTTCCTATATTGTGTTTCTTTTCGTTACACAGTAATCTTAAAATAATGTTATTTATGTAGTAGCATTGCACACTGTTATAAATTTAACACTGCTATGTTTTTTATATATTCACAGATATCTATTAAATTTTTAATTTTCTGTACAGCACTATCACTGTTACCGAATACGTTTAACTTTCGTCATGAATAAGAGGCCATTCATAAATTCATTAACTCTTATGACGGGGCCGCATTTGCGTCTATCGTCATGAAGCAATGCGTGTCGAAGCTTCGTTTATTTTGCTTGTCAAAATGTTATCGCGCCAATGCGGTGGTCACACTAGGGGCTTCGTAATTTTAAACAAATTATAGTGTAATAATCCAAGACGGCCTCAATACAGTTTCCAGACGTATTGACTATCGACGACAACTTTCTTTATTGTGTACTAGCAATAACTTTTTTATGGTAGATATTCTTTGGAAAAATATCAACACCATTTCGTCATTCCAAAACATTAGTTATTTAGAGACAGACGTCTACTCAGTCCGAGAACAGATGCGGCTCCAGCACTGGAGTGGTTGAAGAGAAAATAACTATGATGCAATTTGTCAAAAGTAGTCATAATCCTGTAATAAGTTAGATGATATACATTACATTATTTTATGAACAGTTTCGTAAACTAGTTTTAATGACAAATTGTTTTTAAATTCTATATCTTCCAGAGCACAAGAAGGCTATAAATGTGGACGAGCTGAATGAGGAGTTTTTGGACCCCGAGCTCTCCCTTTGGGACGGATTGGAGTCCTCGCAGTGGTTCCCGCATGAAGTTGTTGAAGCACACTGACAAGAAGACAAACGGTTGAATAAATATAATGCAGGATGGGGGAGATTTTCATAAATACTGCAACCAAATAATTTCAAACTTAATATTGGCTGCCATTTTTAACCGAATTAAAAAAAGGAGGAGGTTCTCTATTGGACTGTATGTGTTTTTTGTATATATGTTATGCAATAACTCCGGTTTGTGAACCGTTCTTGATGATTCTTTTTTTTGTTGGAAAGAGGGTACCTCAGAAGTGGTCCCATTTAAATTTGAAGAAAGTATTCCACCTGTAAGGGTTGCAAACTAGAGGATGAATGACTTAAGGTCAGTTTTTTTAACCAATCAGAACACGAAAATGCTAGTTAGAATGAAATTTGTTAAGAGCAATTTTTTTTATATAGTATCAAGGGACGGGACGAACAAGTCATGCGCCTGGTGGTAAGCTACACGCCTCTCCATGGCAGTTACAGTGCCGCTCAGAACTTTAAATCGCAAAGATCTGGGGGCACTGCCAATGCGCCCATCACCCTGAGACATAAATTGACTAGTCCTAAGTGTGTGTAATTTCACCACCACCCTTACCATTCAAAACTGAAACGTAGTAACGTTGACATTACTGCTTGGCGGCAGAAATAGGTAAGGGTAGTACTTCACAAGGAGCTCTACTGCCATTTCCAATGTTTCATAATTAAATCTTTCAAAGTTCGGCCCACAGATGACTCAGTGTACGTTTTCCATGAGTCTACAGCATCGAGTATATAACCAGAAATAAAGACGAAATGTCACTTAATTTGTTTGAAAACTGTTCTGCCAAATCATTACTGTGACAAATGCGCTTCGGTTGGCCAGCACAAAATCGAAACAAGTGACGGGTGTCGTCAATTGTTTCACTTCAAATCGACCAGTTTAACATGAGCTTTGCTATAATGGACGAAAATTGAAAAATTACATATTTAATTATCGATGAAATATGATTCCGTTTGTTTTGTAATTAGACGTTTTGCTGTTTTTTCCATACCACCGAATGGAACAGCCCCCATTGTTAGAGATATTATCTTTATTACAATAAATACAGAATATTTTTGGAATATACGGAGACATACACACAGATCAGTTGTTGGCGCTGTACTGTTTCAGTTTTATACTTTGTGATTTCAGCGTAAACGAGGGTTGATAGTTAAAAGTAATATAAGGCTTATTTACCTGATGTGTTGCCAAGGATGGATGGCCCTTATTTCGTCTCTATTTCTGTTTATGTACTCGATGGTCTACAGTATCAATTGTGTGGTGACTGTGTAAAATATTTCACAATTTTGTGTGTCAAATTGTACAGCACCCTTAGTACAAAAAGTAATATTTTATACACATATAGCTTAACGCAGTTGCTAACGACTGCTGTCACTATAAACATATAAGGTAGACATGCAGAACGTGTTATTGTCTGGGGTTTTCACCAACCGTAATGCAGAATGTAATAATTGTACGAGTTCTTGTGTCGACTGCTTTAATATTAAGATATTTGTAAATAAATTACTACTTTAATTTTTTTTCCTTTTATTTCACTGATTTATAGCGTCACAAGTTCTCTCAAAGTCAAAGCACATCCAACTTAAATAAATTAATAATTACTAAAGGAATGACTGGACGTCACTACAATGAGGATATCAGCTTTTATTATATACTTTAATTTATATTTTTATTTGTATTGTTTATACTACGCGTTTTTTTGCATGCCTCTATCATTTTCATTTTAATTATACTACACTATATAGCACACTGAGACTCCCAATATTTACACACATCAATAAATACGCAAATAATGAACTCCACACAGCTTTAAAACATTATAATCATCAACAAAAACGCTGTTATTTCTGCATTTCATACAATTTCTACAAACGTGATTCATTTAATTGGGATGGTATATATTTTATTATTAATATTGTTGATCAATACAAACTAATATTGATCAATTTTCTATATCTCAACCGAATGGTTGAGCATCAACAGCATCACAGGAGAATTCCTGTGATGCTGTAGACCTTCATAAATTTATTTAGTGATAAATTAGTAATATTTTTTTTCTGAGTGATCTTTGTAGGTATTAATAAAACAAACTAGTGGAGTAATTTCACATAAAAACATTTGAATATCAATTCAATAAAAATTTAAAATACAGTGAATAGCGCCATTTCTTGCCAGAGCCGGTAGCTGTAAAGGTATTCAACTGGATGATAAAACTTTCATAGATTTCTCATAGATGGTGCTACGACTAAAAAGTCTTTGAAAAACCAAATACAAAGACACGACAACAAGCACATAGAAAAATTCGTGAGGTCCGCTGGTTCGTTGCGTGGCATAGTTGGTATAGTGTCTGTCACGGTATGCTATATAGAAGACGTCGGGTCAAATCCGGCTGAATCGAAGGATTTTTTTCTGAGTGTTCGATTTTTGTATTAATAATTATAACAAACTAGTGGAGTAATTTCACTATACTAATTTCACAATACTTTTGTATTTGAATGTCAATTCAATAAAAATTTAAAATTATCAATCATTACACGAAACATACGCAGTATAAATTGTAATTTTATTAATTTTCAAATTCTTTTAAACAACATTCAAAGTCACCGGTATTCTAGTTTTCACGGAATGTAGACTGTCATGCGTGAGTGTCTTGCCATCCTTGGCAGGATACAATGTTTACGCAACAGAAAAAAATCGTATACAAAATGATGGTGTGGTAATTTACGTTAATGACCAACTGCGTGTCACAAAAGAGGAACCAAATTTTCAAGACTGCAATTGCCTTATTCTGAAATTTAATCACACCATAGCTATTGTCGCAATATACCGCTCACCCTCGTATAACGATATAAATCCATTTCTTCAATCTTTAAACTCTGTCTTGGAAGTCTGTCTAAATTCAGTAACATAATTTTAATAGGTGACATCAATATCTCAATCAATAACATCACACCTGATAATAAATCCGAAGAATATCTTAAGCTTCATCACGGTCTACTCCCGGCACACACTTTTACAACAAGAGACGTTTCTGGAAAACGTATAGACCATATTTTACTAAAGACGAAACATGCTTCAACAACTGTAGTATTAAACTCAACAGTTACTGACCACAAAGCAGTTCTACTATTTTTAAATACTAAGATACCAAAACAATTCGCTTATCAAAGCTGTAACAAAATAAATACTGAAGGTCTTAAAGAGGATGTATTAAACATTATTTTTTCTCAGATTTACTTATCTGAAGCTGACCCAAACTATTGACTGAACCAAACTATTGTATGGATTATCTAATCGATCAACTAAACATGGCCATTAACAACAATACTAAAACAATGCAACTTCCAAGGTGTAAAAAATTGTTAAAGGCATGGATGACCCCTGGTCTACGTGACGGACTACATAAAAAAACACAAATTAAACCCCGTCAATGAAATTTATAAAGTATCCTACAAGTGATATAGAAATTTTTGCTGTAATCTAATAAAAAAATTAAAACGGTCGTAAGGAACAAATAATTAATGCAGGAAACAACAACAAGAAATTATGGAAAGCAATTCAAAATATAACTGACACAATTAAACAGACAAAAGATCAAAATGAACTGATTAATATTGGTCCCACCCCCCAACTATCAGCGAATATAATAAACGAATACTTTATTAGTGTGGGAGAAGATTTAGCAAAAAAAATATTAAAGCGAGGGATGGTCTGCCAGGCCCGGAAGCAAACTATATATCAACATCTTCCCAAATTATATTGTATTATTAGATGTGGATGAAGCTGAAGTCGAATCTATTATACTTACTCTTAAAAACGATGGTTTAGTGAGTTGGGACGGAATAACAAACCGATTTTTGAAAGAGTTCAGGTATATACTGGTACATCCACTAATTGATATTTTTAATAAATGCCTTCACTCGGATATTTTTCCACGTGCTCTTAAAAAAGCTGTTAAAAGACCAATTTTTAAAGGGGGTGACAGAAGTAGTGTCATCAATTACACGCCCATAGCTCTCCTTTCAGCTCTCTCCAAAATTTTGGAACAAATAGTAAATAGTAGACTTGTCAGTTTCCTTGAGAAGCATGAAATTATATCCAAAAACCAATATGGGTTCTGTAAAGGAAAATAAGCTGCTGATGCCGTTAACTCACTGACTAATTACATTGCTACAGCACTAAATGAAAAGAGAAAATGTCTAGGAATATTCTTAGATTTAGCCAAGGCATTTGATATTGTTTCGGTACCTACTTTGATTTCTAAATTGGAGAGGGTTGGTATACGTGGCGTTCAGCTTGACCTATTTAGAGACTACATGAGTGATAGGCGTCAATGTGTTAAAAGACATAATTACACTTAGAGTAATAACGCATAGAAACCTAGCCCGCACACGCTAAGTGAGGCAAGTTAGAGGCTTCCCAAAGGGCCTACACGAGCGGGCGGACTGTCAGTGCTCAAGGTCAAATTGCACCGCGAACAGCTCAAAAATTTTTGTCAATAATGACGAAATGTGCGGTAAATGGGTGTAAAAACAGAACAGGCAAACATAAAATAGACACTAACATCACATTCCACAAGGAAGTAACGCGTTTCAACTTGTATTTTTATATAAATATTCACTAAAACCGAAAATTAATTTCGTTGCAACAAGACACGAAAATGTTGCAAAGTAACAGATTTCTTTCTCCCACTTTTGCTATTCTGTTTCAAAATAATTATATTACGTAATTTTTTGAGAATAGGCAATATTTGACCTCCATTTCTGCAAGGTAAATGCGTACAAATGTTGTTTACAAAGAGCAACCCCTAGAGTTTCTTGCTCATACTTCTCGGGGGAATCTGCCTTACGAATGAGCGGTAGAGTTTAACCAATGCGACGATTTCTAGTGTAATAATACTTACCTATGAAATAAAGATTATTTTGATTTTGATTCTGGGTATCGTTTACATGGTATATGGGGGTGCTCATTACGAATACAGTACTTATTTCTAAATCCAAAATGGCAGACATAATTAAAAAAAAATGCAATATGGGTATCCTTTTCGAGATATTTGGGGATGCTCATTATGAATATGGCACTCATTTCTAAATCCAAGATGGCGGGCGCGATTTTTCGAATAATGGCAAGTTGGGAATCATTTTCGAGATATTTGGGCGTGCTCATTATGAATATAGCACTTATTTGTAAATCCAAAATGGCGGACACGATTTTTCAAAAAATGCTCTCTGGGTATCCTTTTCGAGATATTTGGGGTTGTTCAATACGAATATGGCACTCATTTCTAAATGCAAGATGGCAGACACGACAGTTCAAACAAAAGCAATATTCGTAATGAGCACCCCCAAATACCTCGAAAACGATACCCAACTTGCCATTATTTGAAAAATCGTGCCCGCCATCTTGGATTTACAAATAGTGCCATATTCACATTGAGCATCCCCAAAAACCTCGAAAATGATACCCATATAGCATTTTTTTTTGAAAATCGTGCCCGTGACAAAATCGAGCGTATATCTATAGGTACCTGATCGACAATGTCGGGCAAATCTGTAGGCACCTTTAACTTAATGATGAGTTAAGCAAGATACAATTTCCCTATTTTTGAGGGAAATGTTATTCCATGGCATCATTATTTGTATGTTTGTGTGCGTGCCGACGAGCGTAGATACAAGTTGCTTACGCCTACATGAATTTGGTTTTTGCCTCACTTGTGACAGTTCGTTTGATATGAAACTATCATTCTATGCGTTATTATTCTAAGTAATTACATTAGTGATTATCTGACGTTTACTTATGGAGTTCCACAGGAAAGTATCTTAGGTCTTACGCTCTTCCTAATTTATATCAACGAATTATGTCAAACCTAATTATGCAAGGGAAAGTTAATTGCTTACCCCGACGACACCGTGCTACTTTTCCGTTCTGACAGGTGGTCGAATACCACTAGCGAAGACCAGAAGGGATATAACATGGTCAGATAATGGCTGCACAAGAATGGGCTTACATTAAACACTGACAAGTCAAAACTTATGGTCTTCTCCATGCAAACATTTGCCCAACCAGATGAACTGAAAATAATAGCTCACACCTGTTTACCTAGCAGGGAAGATTGTCATTATAAACCACTTAATCAAGTCACATCGATAAAATATCTCTGAATTCTTATAGATAATCATTTAAGTACACACGCACTTGCGCATACAAAAACACACATTCACTCATACACACACACGCGCCCACACGCAGACACGTTTTTTCTTTTAATTTCCGAAAGTAGTTATTTAGTAGTACATTCAACAGCCTATTATTGTACTTATATTAAGCTAAACAAGCTTAGCATTGTAATGATGTACATTTTTCACTGAATAAAAATATTATTATTAATAGCTGTTGAATTATGTAATGAATAATGACATACTTACTCAAATTTATAATTTGAATTGTTATTGTTTTGCTCATACTGATTGTAAGTTCGTGGTTGTCACGTATGGTGCTTGAGATAGTTTCGGAACTGATTTATTCTACAAATTAAGTAGTAGCTTTCAAGTCGTATGTTGTGATTAGAAGTACTTTGTATTGAAAGTCATACATATTTTAATGTTGTGGTTACCAATTACGCCGCTAGATATACACCTGTTTCCAGTCTCCCTGTTTTAAAAATAAAAGTTTTGACAAAGATCCTTTTCATTGGAAGATATCTCTATCTATATCTATATCTTTTTTGTTTTTGGTATTAATGGGTTTGCCTTCGCATTTTTTTCCATCATCTAAGCATTTAGCGAATGAAAGGGTTGAGAAAGCAGAAGGAATTCTGTAAATTTAATGGAAGAGGTACGGAATTTGGATAAAAAGGATATGGTAGGTTGGGTAGCTATTATATATCAGCAAACATATTAAAGCTTGATATTATTTTCGATAAATAAGCAAATGGCAGAAACGCTAATTGAAAAGCCAGGAAAAAAAAATATTTCGAATGAAAAGTTGTTTTTTTAATGAAGAAAAAAATTTAAATAAATACCTGGCAGTGTGGCTTGAGCGCGTTTCCACTATGTCGTCACGTTTTATTATCGTTTGACGACTTTCGTATCTAGCCTGTTCCGAATTCGCTCTGGACCTTTTGGAGGGAAGTGTCGTTTTTATTTTGACTTTCAATTATTTTGTGAATTCTATTTAAAGTGGAATTAGGATAGTGCTATTGTGCCTTAATCGAAGATTAAAACGCGAAATTATACGAATCTCGAACTAAAATACCCGTATCGGCCTGTTTTAAGGAATCCCGAGTCAATCCAAGCACGCCGCCTCAATTGCCTATCCTTTTTGTGGCGGCCATATTTACAGAAACATAATTAAACTTCATGTTTAGGCTGATGGCTTTGCCAAAGCCTTAATCAATAAAAAAAAATCTAGCCTGTTCCCATATGGGCGCGAAGAGTACAGAATTTGGTATAAATTCCAACACTAACAACATAATATACAATAACTTGTAACAAATTTCTATATTTTTATTACACGAAGAAGAGGCATCTCCATATAATAGCCACCACCTGTCAATCCTGTGGATTCTCAATGAAGATCGATTCAAGTGCATACGATCTAACGATTTTTTGTATCAATTTATTGATGAACTATTCAAGCGAATCGATTCAATAGAAAGGTAAATCGAACTGTCCTGATAATACCAACAAATATTTTGTAATAATATGTAAAACTAAATTTGAACAAAACTCAACTCACAACAAATACTTAGACGTAAAGTTTTTGCTCTCGATTTCGGGTTTTTACCCGATTTAAGCTCGGCGTTAACAAAACGCCGGGTTAAAACCCGGCTGCTGCCCATCTTTGGCTACGACCCAACGCTACTGCAAAGCGAGTAGAGGGCGCCAGGTACGAGAGGGGAGGGCAGGGAGCAGAATACATGCGGACAGTGATAAATAAAACGTGACGACAATAGGAGCTGCGACAATCTGTCGTCACGTTTTTATAGTGACTTTTTTATCGTCAGACGATTGTCGTTCTAGCTGTTCCTACTGTGACGACAGTTTGACGTTGTAACGATAAAAAATCGTGAACGATAGTTAATCGTGTCGTGCTATATGTGAACAACTTCATTTAAATATACAAGCCACGACACTGTAAACTGCACGACAATCTGTCGTCACGACATAGTGGGAACGCGCCCTAGACGCCTTGGCCTGTCCCGACAGACGAAAAATTTTACTACTACTAGTAAAATGAAAGGGATTCAAAATAATATTATTACTGCAACGATGTCTATTTTTGCTGTTTTCCAGCGCATTTCAGTGAATTGCAGCAATAGTTGGCGCGATGAGTGGTAAAAAAAAAATTTGATGCTAAAATGCAAGACTTTTATTTCAAAGTCAGTATAAATAACAAGGATAATTTATCCTTCTTCTGTACAAACTATTTTAATATACATAATTGTCCTCTACTATTACGTGCATAATAATATGCGTAACAACACAACAACATATTTACAGAGTTCAGTTAACTACAATATTATACTAATCAGAAACAAAATTGAAGCCTGAAGATAACACTATGAAATTCGATAAACATCTATACATAATATATACCAATGATTCTAACAAGTTTCAGTTATAGAGTGGAGCACGGGTAGTTGAACAAAGGTAGTTGCATCTACACGAGAAAACTACTTATTTTGCAATTGTATCCTGTAGTTTGTAGTTGCATCTCAACAACAGTTGGGTAAGGAGTACAATGCATTCTTGATTGATTACCAGATGAGCAGAATCTGTAGCTGACCCACCCTGTGATGAATTGGTACATTATGGAATGTGGAGCAAATGCTTTCACTTCTTTTTTTTTCTACATTCACAGAGAACAGGGTTTCGTTATCACAGTCTGTCTACTAATTTTAATACAGTCTATGTTATATAAAGTTATTCTTCTGTTTCTTATAAAAATGCATTTACAATCTACAGAGGAACTACATTTACTTTATTTTTTCTTTATTTACTTTATTGTAAGGTCAACTAATTTATATAGTGGTACAATCGGCGTCAAACTTACTAACTCCCTTATTGTAATTTGAAACCCTTTTACAGTGTCAAGTCACAAGGATACGTCTAAGCGATAAACGATATATGTGCACATTTTATTAAAATAAACAAAGTATGGTGTATTTTTGTCGAAACTGGAATTCGTAAACCAATTTAAAAGTGCACAAGAAATTAATTGTGATAATGTTGATTTTCATTAACACATTGATCTTGACTGTACAATAACAGACTTTCTATGAATATCCTTAACATGAGATCGTGTTAAGTGTTGTTGTCAAAGGGGGGTTATAGTGTACGAACTATGTCGCTGTCTTTTTGCTGGACTTGGAGCTAGTTGTATGACACCTGGGGTACATGATCTACTATCTTGACTTGTTACACTACTTGGTGACGTCAGCTGTGGGGAAGACGCCGTTGATATAGTACTTTTTGGAGTACCTTTTTTCATATAACCTACTACAGAGTTTAGGAACGTGGAGGGCAACGCGACAGGAGTGAGCTTTCCTGCGCCATGAGCTATATACGTTTGTAACATTGTTTTTGAAGGGGAATTAGGGTCATTGACCCGTAGCACTACTAGAGATCCTGTTTCAATATTGTTTGGTACTCCAGTGATTTCATTTTCAGTTCTAGGTGGCAGTGGTACAGTTGAATTTAGATTATTCAGTCTTGTTATAGTGGCCATGTCGGAGGCCTTATTCTGATGCGGTGACGGCGGTACTGGCATTTTGTCACTAATTAACGTCAGTGTAGCGAAATTCTGATTTGTTATTGGAGCTTGTATGGATAGTTCTTTTGGCGGTGGTGGGGGTAACAAATTCGTTTCATTTTTCTTTTGTAATCGTTCCTCGTTCCTTTCTTTCCTTTCCTGTAAAGCGCGGCGCAAGAAATAGTCGCCGGTCATTTCTTCATTGATGACTGCATGGCGTTTGGTCTCCATTGCTTTAGTGCCTCGACCTGTGAAAATAGAAATTTGAGATTAAGCGAATTTATGCGTGCGCAATACTTTCAGTGCTAATATGCCTACTTCAGCTGTACTTTCGTTGCCTAAGGATTAATTTTCATGCCGCAGTACGAAATGGAAGCAAATTTTTGTAACTATAGCATAAATTTAGTAGCAGTAGAGCTCCTTGTTAAAGAGTTCGTCCCGGCACTTGGTATTATAAAAAAAAAAATATGTCAATTGCGTAACAAACGAACCAAACATTCTAAACAAGATTATTTTTACAATACTAACAACCTCGCAGAACTATATTACTAACATCATAAACAATAACTTTTGTTCCATGCCCTTTTCCAAAACATAATACATTTTCCAAAAATTAATTTTTAAGTTTTTGTTGTACTAGCCTTTGTTGCCCGTGGTACTACCAGCAGAACTACTAGTAGTTACACGGACGATAATAATCTCCCGTGTAACTACCAACAAGCCTAGTAGTATCATACTTTTATTTATCAAAAATAAACATCTAAGTTTTTGTTGTACTATCTAATACTTAGATCCGTATTTCGTAGTCAGTTTTTTAGCAATTTCCGGCAGCGTGCTTTACTACCGCACAGAGTTATCACCGTTTAGACCGATCTGTTTAAATGTCTTTATTGCGAAAGTAAAATGTGATGAATTATTAAGTTATGCAACAAAAGTGGTTGTTTATGATGTTATTATTATAATCCTGCGAGGATGTTAGTATTGCATAAATAACCCTGTATATAGAAATGTTGGCTTTGAACGATTTCTTCGATTAGATCCTACTACTATAATACACAAGATACATCACATACACAGACACAGCCTAAATACTTCTACTGTAAGTAGTAAAGGAATTGGATAGTCTGTAGACTGTTCTGTTTTTTCTATTTCATGTGCAGTTTAGCTTATCAATTATAATTGGTTTTAACAGTGATAGGTAAAATAGTGATTTAAATTGCATATTTGAGACTGGTCACATTACTCTTAGAAGATGTCTGAAGTCCCAATCGAAATTAGATGCACATGTCGTTACTGTTTTGTAGAAAAGGCAAAAGCGCCATTATGAAATTTTTTTCAGGGAAACCTAATGGTTTTAACGAGTTTAAAATATATACGTCCCGTTTTTAAAATTTCATTTAATACTGGACGTAAATATTTTAAAGCAGTCGTGAAAAACTAAAAAATACTCGCCTGAAAAAATTTTCGCAATGGCGCTTTCGCCCTTTCTACAAAACACCCACGATATGATGGACTAAAAGCAGTATCAGAGGAGATTCGTGTCCAAATGATACTTACTGGATCTTAGTCCCATCTCCTTAGACATTCTTAACCTCTCTTTTTCCGCTTTCTTCTCCTCAATGAGTCTCTTTCGTTCTTCTTCAGCCTTTTTCTTTTCCTCTTCTCTTTCTTGCTTGAACTCGTCCATAAGCCCTGACACGTCCCAGGCAGTTGCTGACCGAAGTGCCATGTCTACTTGTGCTCCATTTATTTTTTCTTCCTTTTTGAACTGAAAAAAGAAAGAGAAGTTATAGTCGCCTTTGGCGTTCGGCCATTTTCGTTCATTTAAAAAAATGGAACAACAACTAAAATATCTTTTAAGTTCATTCATGCATCATAATGATATATACAGGTGATTTATGCCATTCGATCCGGTCTCTAGTAAGGATCAATAGTCTCTATGGGATCAAACTTTTCTTTTTATAATTATATTTAAAATGTGTGGTAAAAAGTTTTTTGCGATTTCTGACATTTCAAGTAGGTACTCTTACCTCGTTGGTCCCATGGAGACTATTGATCTTTACCAGAGACCGCGTTGAATGGCATAAAAAAAGTTTTGTAAAAATTGCCATATATCTTGCTGACTGTACCATTTTTTCAAAATCTGAATGCTAATCAAAATATCTTCAAAATTCATGGATAGTCTTCTAGAACCGTTTTCCTGTAACTACAACGATTAAGGTAGCTGGCTTTCCTTGCTGCCCCGTCTCAAATGTACACCCCGTATAATGTACCTTAAAATAAAAAGGAACTCGTATTCGATGCCGGATTTTTTAAGGACTTTTGGTGGGTGAAGTAAAGCTCGAGCGCGGGGTGCCTCACGATAGACTGGAGTATCAACAAATCAAGGCAATGACCAGTTTAATAATAAAAGTAAAATAATAAGACGCCGAAAGAAAATATTTTAATTATAGCCGTGAGATGCCTTGTATATCAGTCTCCTAGAGGCATACAGTCGTAAAATGTTGACATTCTTACCTTAAGTTTCAAATCTCGCCTATTCCGATCAGGAAACAATGGAGCCATTAAAGTGAAGTCTGTACCAATAGCAGCTAGCGCTCTGTAGAACCGTACGGTTTCCACCGCACTCCATTCGGCCGTTCGGGCCGCTCGCGTATACCGTCCACCGCCCGATCCGGCCCAACTTCCCTCGCGGACCACAGACGATACTTTACGGTGTGCATCTGATTGTTTTATCACCTGAAAATATTCAATTGGGTTAAAAGAGCTCACACGATCTTACTCACCTAACTTTCGAACAGTGATATTATCGACAATATTTAAGGAGAAATAAAATGTGTGAAGAGATGCGTGAAGAGTCTCTAGGATGTTATCACACTCCTGAAGGAGCCTGACCCGGACGACGTGCCTACATTCGTGGCGAAGGAGCTACACAAACTTCCCCCCGTCACGTTCGACCACGTCGATGTTACTAGGCTGCTGAAGGATATCACTTCCCTGAAGTTAAGCTTGGCCGAGTTGCAGTATAGATTGGAGGCTTCAAATAACACCATAAGGGAGCTGCGCGCCCAAGTTGCGTTATTAAGCAACGCTGCTTCGGTATGTAGGTCTCCAGAAGTCTCTAATGTAAACACGCGTGGTGGGGCGCAAAATGCATCTATCAGCAGTGTCGAGTCGGCACAAATGGTTGCGTCACCGATCGCTGCTGCCGTCGCGCGTGATGCGCCGCGCCTCACGCGTATGCATGTCAGCCTCTGCACATGCATACGCCGCTGCAGCCGCTTCTACCAGCGGACCCGTCACTTCGAAACTCGAGAGGCGGCATCGGCTAAGAGTAAAAGTAATCCCCGTGTACCTGTCTCCGAAGTTGCAAAACCACAGAGGCAGGCGGATCAATGCGACGAAGACGGCTTCACACAGATGGCGAAGAGGAAGAGGAAGCCCATCAGCCGTAATCTGTGTGGCACAGCACCGACAGGATCGAACTTTTTGCTCCGTTCGGCAACACCGACGAGGCTGCTGTACCTGTCGCGACTACATTACTCCACGAAGTCTCAGGAGATAGTGGAGTACATCAGGCTAAAAGCCAAATGCACCAAGTGCAATACGTGTAGATTAATTGTTTAGTTTATTTTATTGTCATATTATATTGTATGTATGTTAGTCCTCAAGGTACATATTAAGTGGGTCATGTGGCCTGATATAAATGTCTAAAGAAATAAATAAAATCTGTAGCCGTAGTAGCCTAATGGTTTGACCTCGGCCGTGGGTTCGAATTCGGGCTCGTACCTCTGAGTCTCTCGGAATTTTTGAGCGAAATTTAATTGGAAATGAGCTTTTCGGCGAAGGTATACATCGTGATGAAACGTACACGTCGAAGATTCAAAATCTTTGGAAAACGTGTGAAGTACCCGCCCGCATTGGGCCAGCGTAGCCTAAGCCCTATCCTGAGAGGAGACCCGTGCCCAACAGTGGGACGTATAAAGGGATGATAGATTGATAAAGATTTTATTCACTAGTATGACACAAATACAGATTGCATACAACAGGAAAAATATAATATAAGTTCCCTAAGGCACTGGTGTTCAGTCAGAACCAACGAGAGATGATAATGATGATGAATGAAAACTGTAGCAGTGTCAGTTCTCTATCTGATCCTACATTATTTTTCGACTTCTCACATAAGTCTGAGTTATTTGGCTTAAAAGTCGTTACAGTTTTGTAGCAATTACTTGACCTCGACTAATAAATAAATTGAACAAGTGACTTGCAAAAGACTTACCAAGCTCTTCTCATCCAGTATGATTTCCCCGTTAGGTCCAAGCTTGATTTGAGGTGCGGGCGCCGTGTCTTCCGCAGGCGGGTCATCCACGTCCTCTTCGGTCTCTTGAGGTTTGGAATTCCTTTCCGCTTCGTCCTTTGCGTCTGCTTCTTTTGCATTTATCTCGTCTTGATCGGGACTGGCAATGATTTTTATATTATATAAATGTTGTACGACATGAAAAAAGTAAGACACTGAGCTCAATTGCACAAACGTTGATAAGTTTGAGCTGAGTTAAGTTGGAACATCGAGTACATAACCAGAAATACAGATGAAATGTCATTTAATTTGTTTGAAAACTATTCTGCCAAATCATTATGGTGACAAGTGCGTTCCGATTGGCCAGCCCGAATTCGTAACAATTGACGGGTGTCAACAATTGTTTTACTTCAAAACGACCAGCTTACCTTGAGCTTTGCTATAATGGACAAAAATTGAAAAATGACATATTTAATTACTGAATGGCTGGCCACTTTATTTCTTTATTATTTCCGTTAGCGCAAAGGTAGAAAATACGTCAATAAAGTTACTAAATAGTGGAAAATAGGTAGTAAATAATGTGCACAGTTTTTTAGCACATTTGTGTATCTCGTTTGGTACACCATCCTGACGGACACGTATAAGTCTTGAATACAGTGACACATTTAATATTAACCTCGAAGTCGTAACCAACAAGACAAACGGTTATGACTCAGCGGCCGCGGGGAACTTACACCCCAATTATTCTGCTATAACCTTACTTAAAGTGTGTTGGTACTTGGTGTAACGGCTGGTGTCCGCAACTCGACGTCAAGGCGCCTATTTTGCGTGTGGTAAAGTGTGTTAAATACACATGTTTTATTTTAGGACAACAATACTTAGCATAATTAACCCTATTAATATCAATCATGGACCATTAACTCAACAGAACTGCTAATCACGATACAAAACAGCGTAGTCGCGTATTTTGTACCTATTGGTTCACCGGACGTCGCGTCGAGTACCAAATAGCTGTTTTTTAATATTATTTTTATGTGTATTGTAAGTGACAGGACGGACATATCGTGCGCCTTATGGTAAGCAACACGCCTGTCCATAACAGTTGCATTGCCACTCCGAACTTTAAATCGCAAAAATTTGAGGGCACTGCCACTGCGCCCGTGAGACATAAGTTGACAATTCTCATGTGCCTGTAATTTCGCTATCACCCTTACCCTTCTAAACCGGAACATAGTAATGCTGACATTACTGCTTGGCGGCAGAAATAGGTAAGGTGGCAGTCCTTCCCTGGTCGAGCTCTTTCACAAGGAGCTCTACTGCTACTAAAAACATTCGACGAGCTGTAATTTATCAAAGCTATTCTATTTTCTAGTCTTAACAAACAAATAAAATTGATGGCGCTTATTGCACAAATTTTTATGAATAGCCGGCAGGCTATTCTTTTGATTTTGCTTAGGATTACCGTCATCTGTTCATATATTAAGTAATCTGTGCCCATATTAGCAAGCGTTAATTTATAAATTAGTTTGTAACACACAATGTCGGGTTCATTTGTCAAAGTTCAGAAAATAATTTATCATATATATATATATATATATATATATTATAATTTATTTTATTTATGATTATCTGTAATATCTGAAAAATATTACAGAGAAAAACTGACTTCATATTTCATATTAAAGAGAAATTAATTGATATCCACGGTTATTTACATAATTTAAACTACTTCAAAGCTTTGATCAGCGTCATCTAGATAAAACACGGGATTTCACCTTTTTCAGAGTTATGGAGATTAGCAGTCCTCTCGAGTTATCACTCCGTAGTATCCATTTCATTCCAAGTGCAAAATGCGTTCATATAATATGATCTTTACAACTTTTGGTTAGTAGTGTTCATGATTGAGAGACAATCCGTCTTTTCGAAGGTATCAGCTGCCTGATATTGACGACTTCTACTTATTAAGAGGTCTTCAGCTCAGCTGTTCAGTTTCTTGTAGTTTCTTCATATTGCAAAGAAAGCTCTAAAAGATAAACGTGCACTTACACAATCGGATTGGTCGTAGGATTGAAGAAGATCAAATCGTACATAGTGAGTACGTCTGGTTTGGCAGTGTCACGACGGCGTCGCCACATTCGTTTGCTCATTTCTTGACGACGAGTTCTAGTAACAGAAAAAGTTGAATATTTACTGGAAGTTACTGCAAAATTAAGTAGTAAGTTATTGGTTTGTAGATCGTCACAAAATTAACTAGTTGCGAGCCAAAAAACTCATAAAATTTAACTAAAATTCTCTAACCAAGCTCATAAAAAATTACATCACATGAAACCTCTTAATTTACATTCATCTTTTTTATAAATGATAAAAAGAGATGTTTTTTCACCGCTCGCATTACTCACTACACTAAATAAACATCTAAGCTACAAACCGAATCAGTAGATATTACGAATTTCTCTATATGTTTGTTATAGATACTAGTTTTTGGTCTTAACGGCTTTTTAGTCAGCTGTGGTATAACTACACTAAACGGTCATTCGGCATGTTACGGGTGCAGTATAATAACGCATTTCGTGTCATGTTGGGTTTGTCATGGCGTTGCAGCGCATCTGGTATGTTTGCCCTGAACAGGGTGGACGATTTTTACGCTTTAATGAGAAAAAGAAAATGGTCTTTTACTGAGAGGCTAAAGAACTCGAAAAACTTATTGGTGCAAGTCATTTTTTCGCGATGCTATTGTTGTTTTTAGGCGTTTTGTAGTTATTATTCTTATTTTACAGTTTTTAATCATAGTGTAATTTTGTAATCTAATTTTGAAATTTAATTATATGTAATTTTGTAAATTATGGGATTTATGCCTAAATAAATAAATTTATTATTATTATTTTTTTTTTGCCGTAGCGCTACTTGTGAGAAATAAGTTTATCTTCACTCAACCAGGTACCTTTATAGCTACCAGAGGTTGACAAGAGGTGATGCTTTATAATTCCATATGAATACAAGGAAAATATTTCATTATACAATATAATAACCATGTAGACGAAAAGCTCCAAAACGTCAAGTTTACCCACTTAGTGAAATGCTTTTCTTTTACAGGCGATGTAGGAGGCGGCTGCTGCACGGTCACCTGACTGACACTCGAACTCACAGAGTCGGTTCTCGTTCGGTTCACCTCCCTAGAAGTACAAATTATCTATGAAACATAATATTGACTTATCGGTTTTCGTTTCGTAATCGATTAATAATGTAAGTTTTGAAACTATTATGTAGTATGACAGACCTATGCAAAAAAGGACAATTTGCATACTTATAGAAAGCAATGGCAATGTAACTAGCATGTATATGGTTTGTGTAGGTAATTAATATGTGCATACACATAAAAGGCATGCCGATAGCAGACAAATGTAAGATAACTGGCATGTATACAGTTATACAACTGTATACACATTTCACTTAAAATGCACGCCAGACACGTGTACACAATATACTGCAGCGTTATCTTCAGAGTTTATAGTTTGATTGCATTCTACAACCCCTACGGATTTGGTGATGGTCTCGAATGTACATAAAAGTGATGATGTAGTTACCTAATAGGAGCAGATAACATAGTGCTGAGTGAAGTGTGGGAGTCGTGTCGCTGCCGTGGCGGCAAAGCTGTCGGCCCACCGGTCGTTAGTAATGCACGGCGGCTCTCGTCTTCGGACTCGCTTGCACTGCCCTGAATTTGAGTTAGACTTTGGTTGATTGGAAATTTTCCACTCGAAATACAGGTAGCACTATAATTCATTAGCATAAAATTAGAACTTAATTATATGAAACCTTGATAATTAAGGAGAGCATAACATCTAAAGCTACTTACATAAATTGATACCTCTCACGTCAATTGCTGTAAGCCACAAAATAGCATTTTTTATTTTTTAAGTTAAATATAAATCTACTATAGGTTCTATTTTTAACAGTAAAGAAATCACTTAGTGTAATGTTTACTTTCAAACTTGGAACCTATAATAAACATAAATATTTAAGTAAAAAAGTAAAAAAAATGTGGCTTGCAACTTAAGTGTAAGGTATCGCAATACTAGGTTTAACCAAATTTTTTGTTTTTAGTAATAATTCAATGATAAAATGATAATCATTCTACCATTGTTATAACCATACTTTCATTTATACAAGAATGTTGACTGGATCATCCATCAGTGACAGAGCGTAATTATGACTTTGAATCAATGTGAGCACACTCCTACATCTATGGGAACGAGTGTGTCTTGGACAAATCATCCAATTAGGCCGAGCCAACTTCGAGAAAGAGATCAATCGTAGAACCCGAATCGGTTGGCCAGCTTTCGGAAAACTCTGGTCTGTATTCTCGTCCGCAACACCGCAGTCCTTGAAGACTAAAGTCTTCGAGCTGCGCGTGTTGCCAGCGATGACCTACGGCTCTGAGACGTGGTCACTTACTATGGGCCTCATAAAAAAGTTCAAAGTCACTCAACGAGCTATGGAGCGAGCAATGCTCGGTATTTCTTTGCGTGATCGAATCAGAAATGAGGAGATCCATAGAAGAACGAAAGTCACTGACATAGCTCAAAGGATTAGCAAGCTGAAGTGGTAGTGGGCAGGGCACCTAACTCGTAGAACTGACACGGCCGTTGGGGCAAAAAGGTTCTCGAATGGAGACCACGAACCGAAAGGCGTTCAGTGGACTACCCTACTAGATGGACGGATAATTGGGAAGGGCGGCGGGTAACCCGATGGGTGCACGCCGCGTCCGATCGACTAGTCTGGAAATCTTTGGTGGAGGCCTATGTTCAGCAGTAGACATATTCTGGCTGATATGATGAAACACTATGGCACAAAGTAGTGACATTTTGGTGTGAATTACTATCAAGTACTGTCCATGAATGGGTTAAGGAATCTTATTCTGCATTATCTCTATACCTTTGTTTCATCAAATAATATTGAAATGCTATTAGATTCTAAATAGAACTAAAATAATTATTACATGCAAAGAAGGTTGATAAAGAAGTGTGCTCATTTCCATTGTCAGATGTGGTTCATAGACTATATTTGTGCCTACCAAATTAAACAACAGAATTATTATTGGTTCAGGTAACCATTGTGTGATCATTTCATTTGAAAAGCCAAAAATAAATAGTGGTTTATGTGTACAGTTGGATCTTTTATGACGTTCTATAGAAACCTTTACGGTTTCAACATTTCAGCAACATTAATAAAACCATTTCAAAAGTGGACAAATTCAATGTCGTCTTTAGCCCTGTAATTGATTTAAAAGGAAATAATTTATTAAAACAATAATACGAATTTTCTTGTCTAACTTGTCAGTTTTAAACCCACGTCTGACGTCCTTGAAAGCAAGATAATGTTGTTAAAAGAATCTCGTCCTATTTAGGGCAAATGCCTCCCAGATAATGCCAGCATTCAGACGGTCATGGCATCATTAACAGGCCCTCAATATCGACATTATATAGATGTGCTTGAAGCATGTTGATTTAATCATAATTGTGTTATTATTAATGGTTGGAAAAAGGTGTTCCACATATATATATACATGAATATAGATACATGTATAGATATAACTACAAGGAGTGTTAATATAACCAAATATTAATTAATGACGTTTCGAATTTCGGATTTCCGTTAATGGTTTTACTGTATTGTAAGTCAACACAACTGACCTAGGAAGTCGAAGTTGGATTTTAAAGTAATTCTAATAGTTCATGTAAAAAAATGCAGTAGATAACTGACAGCCAGTGGTCTCTAAAGCTAGGGGCTTACTTTTTTATTCTTTGCTTTGGTAAAAGGTCAGATTTACTGCATTTTTTTACATGGACCATTAGAATTACTTTAAAATCCAACTTCGACTTCCTAAGTCAGTCGTTTTGTCTTACGATGCAATAAAACCATTCCGGAAATCCGGAATACGAAAAAGATATTATATATATTTGGTGGTTTTAATAACTCTATGTCACTCCCTGTAGCTATATCTATATATGTATCTATACATGTGGAACACCTTTTTCCGACCATTGGTTTACAAGTTGTTACCTGTACACTGTTTCTCCTATTTGGTGCTAACCTAGGGATAGGCCGCAGTTTCGGTCTAACTTTACTCGGCGAAGGCAAAGGCACAATAGGATCAAAAAGTACTTCAGCATTTTCTGATATGATTGCATTCTTCAGTAGATCTATTGGTTTGGGAGCATTCTTGCCTGGTTGTAATGGAACAATACCATCCATGACTGCACTTTCATCAGTTATGCTTTCTGGTACACTTGGTACACTGTAATCTGGAAATAGAAGTTAATTTATATGTAGGTTTGTTGTGAGTGGATACCATATAGATAACACTTGAATTCTCTTTGGTTTGTTTTAAAAAAATGAGTTCGTATTGGTTGGTTAACATTGCACAATTTGGTACAGTAATCTCCATTATGATTTTCAATTAATAGTGAATCAAGGAAACACCTGACTATTTGATCCAACAATCCAGGCATGCAACATTTACTTCCCATACAAAATGCCTGACGGTTTTGTCCAACAAGGCAGAGTTCCATCACACATGCCATAGTAAAATAATTTTGACCTATAGTCCATCTGTTTAGGTACTTAAATAAATGTAAACAATCTTGAGATGTCTATTTAATGAAATATACATTTATAAAATGATTTTCCCTTACCTTCAAATACAAAATACAAATACTTAGCTGCATATGTAATTGCATGCCTATTTTTATACCTATTGATTTGTAAAGCATGTGTTTCAATAAAAAGATGTATCAAGATTGTTTACATTTAGTTAAGTACCTAAACAAATGGACTATAGTTAATGTACTTTATTTTTACACTACTTGATTATGCATAGTAAATGTATAGTAGAGTAAATGCACATAATAATATGAAATTGAGAAAGTTGCATTATTGTTTTAAGATAATATATAATTTCTTTTTGTTGAATATTATAATGGCAGACAAGTTGTTCAACCAATGTCTTTGTTTTTTTAATGATTGTCTGTATGTCTGTGATTTTCAGTATTTTAATTGGTTATTTTTATGGTATGTCATTCATGAGTGTGCAATTCAATATTATGGGATTAATTCATATAGCTTATTGCAACAATACATTTCTGTAAAATCATCTCTGACCCAATATCATGTTGGTTTCTCTTTTTAAAATTTCCATCCTTTGCCATAGGTACCTACTTAATTTTATAACATTAAAACCACAATGGTCAGTGTGACAGTTAAGAAAATGAGTTTCTTTTCTCTATACTTTCCAAAACATTGGACTTGATTCATGGACAATCCCCATATTGATATTCATCAGTTTAAGATAATGATTAATGTGCTTCAAGCAGTTTTATTGTATTATTACATATAGCCAGAGAAGGGTCATAAATCTAGGTAGGCAACTGCTACACTGGACTGTAGATCTTGTCAAAATGGGGAATAAGGAAAAATTGGATAGGGAAGGCATAACACTAGAAGTAATGACATGCATTAAGAGACCTACTGTGCACAGTATTGACTCGACAGTGGTTAAAAAAAGAAGATATATAGTACATTCCAGTCACTCCTGGGTTACCCGAGGAGGTGATGCTTGAGAAGGAATGATGGGAAATTGCCAGAGACAGGGAGTAGTGGAGGATTTTGGGGGAGACTTTTGCTCAGCACTAGGACACAATAGGTTAATTTAAAAAAGTAGTGCATTTGTCCATATCAATTACAAAGGCACCAACAATTAAGTGTCCTTAGTCAATAATATCGAACTAATAACTGAAAAGGTCTCCATTAACAATTTATAATCATTGTAAGCTATTTGGTGTATTTAGCAGATTCCACATGTTAAAACTTACCATCACGAATGTCATTCCTCTTTTCTCTATCAGAGTCTGATGGAGTATCCACAATTTTATCAATTCCATTTTCTTTATCTGAATTTTCCATTGTTTTTTCTGCAATTTCCTGTGCATTTTGAATATGATTTGCCTGCATATTCTGAATATTAAGTACTTGTACATTTTCAATATCACAGTCTATGCCACTTGTTTTTTCTATATCGTCCCTATTTTGTCTAACAACATTTATGACCTTCGGCGATGAGTCTTTAGGAGAAGGGTGTTTCACTGAAGTGGTTTTAGGTGGTGGATTATTTGTCACATAGTTGGAATTAGATGCTGATGTTATGACAGATACTTTTTCAGATTGTGGAGAGTCGGACTTTTCTTTTTCGATTTGTGGCGTGGTATTTCTTGGTACAGGTTCTTTAGAAATTTCTGGCCTAGGTGAAGGTACATTTTCTAACTGAATTTTAGTAGTTGAAATCGGTATCAAGGGCGGTGGAGTGCGTACGGCCTTTACAACAGGTGATTTATTATCGGTGTTTGGAATTGGTGATTTTGTTTCATCTTTTTTACCACTGTTCGCTCGGGGTGTCTTCGGTGTTGGCGGGCCTTTCTCATAACCCTCCTTAAGCACACTTTGCTTGTTCTTTGCATCTGCATTTTTTCTCCTCGGTGGCAAAGCAGCGACTGCTTTGATTCGCGCTCTCCTCGTTGACATGATAATTTCAACACAATAAACAATGCAAATTAACGTATTATTTTGCCACTAATTGTTAGCAATATATCACGACGTGTAACACATTTAAGTTTTTGTGTTTGTGGTTTTTAAATGTTATTAAGTTTATTTATTTACTTATAATAGCAAAATCAAACGCAGCAACTTATTCCTTTAATCAGATCCAATCACAGATGCAATTGGCAATTTGCCAAGCACACAGTGTTACCAAAGCCCTTGAGCTGAAAATAACATTTCCTTACTTGAAAATTTATATTTCTGTTGCAAAAGTCACATTTTACAAAGTTCTTTTATTACTATATTCTTATTAAAAATTCTAACTGTAAAATATATTGTATACGCTTAACTCCTAAAAATAAAATGTAAGTACGCTAAAGAAAAATTAAGCCATATCAAACCAGTACCTAATTTATTGATTTCATTTTGTTTGTGCCATCTCTGAGTTACTTGTCTAATTTGGGTGCGAGTTTAAAGGATTTATAATAACCAATATAGTTGAATTTAAAATAGTTACGAAAAATAGATTTTTTCTTTTAAACGTTACTTTGCGAGAAGGTCAAAAGTTACACAAAACGTAAGAAATATAACCATCGGGCAACACTTAACGCATATGTCAAGTGATATAGTTATTTTCAATGCTACAAATTACATTTGTATAGAGTGAAAAATAAAGCACTACACTAAATTGTATAGCGTTGTCCTATTTACAGCTGAACTCCTTGATGCCTGTGATGCCAAATCCAATAAAAACACTGCTTCTTAGTTGTAGCTGATAGCCTCGTAACCAAAGCGTAATAAATTAAAAAACAACTTTTTAGTTATTTTGCTACTCAACCCTAGATGTCGCTATACGACAATAATTTGTCATCACCATCGTGGGATGGCGCCAGTAGTATTGTTTCTCAGGCTACAATAGTTTCTATTGCAATGTTCCTTTTAGCGTATTGATCATTAGGTGTAAAATATGCTGTATAAGCGCATTAGTGGTGTAAACCTCATTAAATTTATTTATGTAAAATATTAATTGAAATAATACTTCAGTAATAATAAATAATATTTTTGATTAAACTTTTAATTATTAAGCGCAGACCATTGGTGTAACTAATTTTTAATAGGGTTATACCATCTATGGGTTATATCACTTTTGCGCTGATGCAAAAGATGATGAGCTTCAGTTATGGTTAGACTTTTATTAAAAATAATTATTTTCAGTCAAGTTTGATAACTTGACTTTCAGGGGTATCGCGAAGTTTATTTTAGATCTTATGAAGGAAAACAATAACAAAAAAGTAGAGACAAAATATCAAGAAAAGTTAGCAACGTAAGAAGAGAGTAATCATAATTTTTCGGTTATGGTCTTTACATTTTTGGGAAATAAAACAATCGCACAGTTTTCTTCATTCTTTAATGCATTTTCTCTAATTTTCTTGACAGCGATGAGCACTTTTGGTGAAAATAGATACCAGAAATTAGTATAATTATGAATGTTTTAAATAACAATCAGATCTAAAAAAAAATGTTTTTAAATAGTTTTTCTTACATCCAGTAGCTCAACTTCAATAAAAATAGATCTCTTCTATAAAATTTATATATTTTACAAAAGCAGTAATGTTCAGATAAAACAACGATAAATAAATGCTTCTGGGAATTCAAACGTAGTTATTAATCTCTTTGTAGATAAATTGACAGATAGTCACTCTGCTAAGATTCAATTTGTATAAATATCTTACGAGTATAAAGTATCTATTGGTGTTAGTCGCCAAACTGAGAACTAGGTTGCTTCCTACGAGTAAGCTACTGCGTATTGGTTCGTCATTCATTATCTATATTTTGGCTAAAAAGTCAACATTTGCAAAACCATCTTTACAAATTGTCATGACACTATAAGAATTAGTCAACGATGATTCGTGCCAAAGGTTTGCGCTGGTGCGGGGGACTCGGGCCATGGCTAACTGCTCGCTAGGATATGTTGCTCTCGTACTCTAGTCGTGAACTTAATGTTACTTTAAAATAAGGAAGCGATTGCGAAGCCGCCTCTAAGGCGCCGGACTAAGTGTTAACTCGTAGGTACAGCATGGAAAGAAGACGAACAAGCTCGTATCATGCGCAGTATGTACTAGTAGAGTAGTGCCGGTCCCGACCCGCCCACCGCAGCGCTCGCAGCTAACCGCTGCGCTATCACAAAACGTAATTCGTCCGAATTTGTTAACGCTCCGGCCTACTTATTCCTACAAAATGATCGCTATCGACAATAAATTATTTTCCCTACAATTAAAAACAAGGTATGAAGTGTTTAGTGCATCGAGAAGAGACGTATCGTCCGTCTCGCATTAATTGACTGGACCGCTCGAACGAACGCCCGCAAACCCCACTTTACCTATTGAATATAGAGGCACACATGTAGTCTTTACCTTCTAGAGTGGAAGGTCATCGATTCTTTGTCATAAACAGGTGTTATGATCAAGCATTTAATAGTGTATAGATAAAGCTGCCAATGTAAATTTAATTACGTCTGAGATAAGGCATGTTAACACGGTGAATTTAAAAGACCTGGTTTTCTTGAAGAAAGAAATTACACAAGCAAACGAACTGTTACATTTATGTACACCCTACACCTGTGCCTGCATTTTCAATATATTGGGATCTATCTTACACACTCCAACGAAATAAACGGCACTAACGCGAATCCTCGACATTACAATATTTACAAAGAAAATCTTAAAAGATTCGAAGCGCTACTGATCACCTCTACTTAGGAAACCGAGAGAATTGGTTGCGCTAATTATGTCGATTATCGGTAGATATTACTACTTATAATTAAAATGAAGAAAGCAACTGTGTGCTATTGGAATTGCGCGTGAGGCTCTTTAGTTGTGCGTCCCTTGTGCAGTCTGACGCCGCGCCGTCGCCACCGTCGACTCCGGGTCCTGTGATGTTGAGGTACTCGCCCGAAACTATGGCACTCGTCATAACAATGGGAAGAGCACTTGAGACTTTTTTTGTGACGCAACCTTAAGGAACAGTCATCGGGAATGTTCCACGACGAGTGTCCCAGAAGCGGCGGCGGAGCACGACGCCCTAAATCCCCACGATACAACTTCTATAAACATTATAAACAACTTCAATATAATAAATACTTCGAATCGTGTATCAGGAACGTTAAACATACATCTCGAACGTTCGTATCTAACGACCGAATATTCCACATCAACAATAGAGGTCTATGTCATACGCCAACAAAGCATAAAATAGTGATATCTTTACATTTTCAGTCTAGTCTATATAATTATTTTTCTCTTTTATGGCAAGGTATCTCTATAAAGATTCAATAGTATCATCTTCAATATATAACAGGTATATCTATACAATCGGAATACGTCGCGTATTCGATTCCTCACAGCGTCAATGATATAAAATTTAACCTAAATTATAACACAGGAGAATTAAGTATAAGATCACAAAATGAGATTCAGCGGGCGGCGCGGTGCGTGCGCGCCCGGCGAAGTCGCAGCTATGATACGTGTCTACGCTACAACTAGCGAGGCGGCGCGCGCTTCGCACTAAGCCTAGTATTGCTATCGGTGGCCTCGCGCGGCCTAGCACACGGTGCGGCGTCAGGGGGCGATGCCGGCGTCCGACTTGTGGAAGGCGGCGCCGACCGACGAGAGCGTGGCCGCTGCCGCACTCTGCGCGGAGCTGAAGTCGTGTTCGGACTTGGGCCTCGGCAGCGCGGCCGCCGCGGCCACGCCCAGCCCGGGCAGCGCCACGCCCGCCATGCGGCAAGACGCCGCCTGCAGCGGCTGCAGCGCTAGCCCCAGCGACCGCTCTGAAAGCCGCGCCACGCTGTCGTCCGACAAGCTCACGTGTTCCGCTTCAGCCGCCAGCGCGTTTACCACGGCGTTGATCGTGTTCCCTTCCGATGTCGTATCGTCTTCTCTATGCGCTACTAGATTGGGGTTCTTCCCGATCTTATTGAGTCGTTCGGCGGCGACGCTTTCCATCGTGCGCCGCATCAAAGGATACTGGTCGAGCACTGCGTTGAAGTGGTCCACGGAAAGTGAGAAGAGGTTGCAGTAGGTCTCGGCCCGGACGGAGGCGACTCTTCGTGCGTTGGTCAAAAGGCAGATCTCGCCGAAATAGGAGCCGTCAGAGAGGCTAGTCGCTACCTCGCCGTTCGCCATCACGATATCCACGATGCCTTCTTGTATAAAGTACATTTTGTTACCGATGGTACCTTCTTTTATTATGATATCACCTGAAATTATATATTTGAACAATGAACATCGTAGGACTAAAGAGTAAATGCTAACCATGTGTCTTTGTAATGTACAAGTGCTATAAGCTTGTCTTTTTGAAGACGGAGTTTGAGATGACATTTGCAGAGTTGCCACTTTTCATAAAATTTTGACTAGTCATGTAGTTGTTGTCGACGGTTTTATCGATAGATTACGAAAGTAGGTAAAATTTTGCTGAAAATGTCCGAATTGTGAATGCTACGACATTCTAATGATTATTAACTGCTTTATTGTATTCTTTATTCTTATTTTGACAGTTGGCTTATTAGTAGGTACCGAAATGAATTTTTATTCATACACATTTTAATAGCGACAGGCGGATATGATTATGTACATTAAATTAAAACGAAAAACTTGAAAATGTCTCCTATTTCTATTTTTAATAGAATTAGTTGTACATATTTCCAAAAATTGACAATTCAAATGAACCTGAGCCCAGAAGTTGGACGAATAATGTGCCGCTGATGATTCAAAACAAATTCGACTATTTATTGCATACGCGTTACCAACATTCCGTCTATAGTCGATATAATATTTATGGACTGCAATCACTAGTTGCTTGCAAGTGGGTAACACTTATGTGCAATGAACGGTCATTTTACTCCATCTTAAAAAAGATCGACTACAAATTGATAATCAGCATAATACCAACCTGGTTGGAAGACTTCATATCGTAGCTTTGTGACGACGTCCGACACGAAGTTGGAGTCGGCGTTTGCGAAAAAAGGCACCGATGCGACGAGCGAGCGACAGTTGTAGTTGATGACATCTTCTCGCAACTTCTCGCTCAGCTCACCGAGGATCACTTCTTCGTCGAAGAATTTTCCCTGGTATCGATGCTCGAAATACTCCGTGATACGCTGACGCATTTCTCGGGGCAACTTTCGGTATGCCATGTATTCTTCTACTTGTTTTACCTGGAATTTCACGAATCAGATTTTGTATGTACAGTTACATTTTATGGAATGCTTTACTTCAATTTACGTGGATTCCCTTAGAATAAGCTAGGTAGTAAAATCCGTTAAAGTGCTAACTATTAATTTACAATTTTCGAAGAAGTAAGTTAAACACATCATTCAAAATAATTTGTACAAGATGTTATCTAATCTGAAACTAAATTTTCCATTGACTAATTCATCACGTACTTGGTGAAGCAGTGTTATTCACTCTCACGCTTGCCGAAGTCAATCGTAAACCATGCTTGCAATTTGTGAATGTGTACACCCCTTTACTCTATAAATAACCGTAGAACACCACACGACATTTAATTGGGTTTGATTGATAGCTTTTTCGCGAAATCACATAAAATTCCGCCATGACCTGATTGGCTCAGTGAGATAAAAATAAGGTCAATTTTGTTTTTATTAATAAGCTACCAGTCAAACAAAGTTTTACCCAAAATTTAATTTGTGTAATAAAGTCTATTCCAAACAATAGGTGTAGGTACATAAGAGACGTAGGGATATGCGTTATTTTACATAGAATAGTAGGTATTCTTACTGCTTATTAAAGCAGTATTCAGGTGATGAGTGACAAGGTTCTTTAAAAAATTTTGCAACATTTCAATTTGTGTCACAAATAATGTTGTTTTTTGGAATAGACTTGGAATTGTTAGTGAAAGGAAACTGTTATGAACACCTCAAATGAAATGGCCCCTAAGACTACATTTTGTTATTTAAATGATATCATGACAGTTAGTTATGGATATAATGACATGTAAATTGTATATGTACACATAACAACGACACACGACACACATTAACTCAATACTCACGTCTAATCTCTGAAACAGTCAATGTTTTTCTTTAGTGATGAGACATACGGGACTAGGTACATGCTTGTTCGTAACAGTTATTTCGTACTAAACGCGGGCCGAAAAGGTTCTGCTATTAGTCAATAGTTTGTGCTGTGGTGTTCATAACGGTTTGCCATTTGCTTTTTATTAGGTAGGTAGATAGGTCATTATTGTCCAACGAATTATAGCAGAAGACTAAAAAACTGATTCACAAAGAAGAAAAGCGACGAAATGTCACTTTTGAAATATACCTAATTGTATTTTGAAGATATTTCGTGGCATAACTGCTCCTTGGTGAATCAGAGCTAAGTTGATGTAAAATGAACTGGGATTTACAGTAGATGAAAAAGTGACGAGGTAAAAGGAATATCATGTTACCTTTTCTCTGTATTGTCTGCGGGAAGAGTCAAGACTTTGTATGAGGTTGGTGGCGTGACCTAGGAAGAGGGCGTAGCAGGTGGCTCCAGAGATCATGGAGAGCATCGTGAGCCACATGTCTGTGAGCGACTGCGGCGGAAACCGGCCGTACCCGATGCAAAGCATGTGCGACATCGCTTTGAATAGCGCCCACGAGTACTGCTCCAACCAGAACGCTTCCTGAAAATTGGTCGCAATGTCATGTAAATTATGGATAAAAAATTGTATTACTTGTCATGGCTATCTGTCTTTTTAAATATAGTGGATTTTAATACTGACCTGTAATTCATTAATTGCGACCCACGAGTTGGGCGGGAACCCTTGCAGCATGGGAACAAGGAATTGCAGACAACCGGACCAGTGTCCGATTAGCAACATCATGCAGATCAGGTTGAATATCCGCATGAACACTGACGCCATGTTGAGGAACTGGGAAAAAAACGCCACTCATCAATACTGAGCCTAAAGGGAGCTTCGTCTCTAAAGGAAGCCGTGCGGACTGCGCGCGACAAGGACGCTCGAATTCAAGCATCGCGATGATTCTCTACCGATGGATTGGTAAAGTAGTGAGAAATAAAATGTGAACGCGTGAGACGATATGTCGAGCTGCATGCGTGGTGGGCGGCGCGGCGACGGGGGTACGCGGCAACGGCCGCCGCGAAGTCGCGCGCCCCGGTCGCGTCGCGCGTCTCTGCCCGCGCGGCCGCCGGCAGGACCAGGGTCAGAACAGAAACGCCAAAGATAGAGAGAGAGAGAGAGAGAGAGGAAGCCAAGCGTACGCAGCGGTCTAAGGACGCCCGGCGGCGCCGGCAGCATGCTAAGCGGGCGAACGAGCACATGCGTGCCGGCTCGTGCCGACCCTGGTTACCTTGAAGATCAGATTGCTTTTGGTGCGACCCTTCTTTTTGGCAACTTCGGAGCTGAGGCGTCCCCTCCGTTCCGTGCGCTTTTTTTGAAGATTCTGCAAGATCTAGAAAACAAGCGAGAAACACGAGATAGTAGGAAGAGAGCCAGGCGCGCCCGGCAGAGGTCAGGCGCTGGGTCGTCGCGAGGTTGGGCGGGGCGGGGCGCGTGCGGGCGGGTACGGACACACGGGATGCACTAACATCACACCGACAACGAGAGACGCTCGCGGGCTAGGCCCCTACGCGTACGCTATCTGAGCGGCTAGTGGCTATGGCTAGTGGCGCGACGCATACGGCACCTGCGAAGCGAGGTCGCGGGAACCCGCGCCGTCGTCGCCCGGCGCGCCACGTGGCTGCGGACCGGGACTCATCTGCACACAACGCCGTCACTGCAGTCGCACTACCACCGTGTCCGTGCTCCACTTCTCACCACCTCTCCACCTTTTTACCACGCGACGCGATCGTGTTCTCTCGGTGTGTCCGCGGCCAATTTTCGTCTACTATCGCGTTCGTAACGAATTACCTATTCAATCCCGATTTCGGTTTCATCGTTTCAAATATTTTACGTTTGAGCTGTGTACGCGTCGATGTCATCATTATTCCGTTTTTTTCTTCACTTTGTACTCGCACCAGTTTTATATACTTACTTAGTTGTATAAAAACGTTTACAGGTACGATTCAATCGTACAGGCGTACACTTTGTACGAGCGTTAAATTTTACTTAAGGTAAGTTCTACGAAGTGCTACGGCTACGGGCTACGAAGGTTTGATGAGTGATAGGTTGTTTGATAGGCTTTGTTTTGAGTTTTTGCGTTACGTTTGTTTTTGTACTAAGCTTTATTATGATTACTTCGCTATTAATCGCATTTTAAAATGTTCATTGTTAGCGATATTTATGCGATTAGAACTCTAGAGGCTCAAAAAAGCGGCAAAATAATAATCAACAATTTTGCAAAACAAACGTTATATTGGCGTGTGACTATCGGGTCGGCGGTCGAGAGTTGACGTTTGGACGTTTGCGGCGTGTCGTAGTCGTGTAGTCGGGCGCCATTCGCGGGTGTCGCGGCGAGTAACAGAGAAGAAGAGATAGACGTCACGAGTGAGCGTGCTCAGGCAGAAAGAAGCTTGCAGAGAAGCAGTAGAGAAGTGCAGAGCGGGACGTGGGGCTGACATACAGTGGGTGGGAATGGTATAATACAGGAGTACAACAAAACTTATACACGTTATTAGGTTATCTACTCACTATTACAGTTAACATCGTCATCATTGCGTCATCTTCGCTAGTTAATCTAGGGTTTAAGTCTCCAGTTAAGAATCTTCATTAATCCAATATTATATTTTGGTTAGTTAGTTAGTTTCGTCAGTAGATGTGAGCGAATGTGGTTAGAGCAGTGTTTAGTTTGTAACAGTCCTAGTGTTAGTAGGGATGATGGCTTACATATACTTCCTCCCATTGCGATACATATCGGACGAGTCTTGAGAGTCGAAGCAGCCGCACCAGGGAAAGCAGCTTCGCTAACCGGAGTATCCGAAGAGCGCGCCCCGCATGAAGAATTTGAAAGCTCTCACTAAAATCCTGTCAACACAAAGCGACGCCTTAGTCGTAAAAACATAACAAAACCGACACTCCGGGTAAATATATACTTCTCGGAGCGTCGATTATACGTGGCAAATGCTTTTTTGCTGTCGAAGTGTAAACATGCACTCGCTGACATTGAAAAGACAATTTCAGCCAAAGAAAAGTGCTGAAGCGTAATAAACATGTTATAATTATGGTTTGTTCTGTTAATTTACATTCTTTTTTCTCTCAGTAGGGCTATTAGTGGAAGCTTATAACATTTATAATAGCGTTATTATTCAGCTTGTGAAATCCTTTTTTACAAGCTCGGTTGCTGCTTCTTTAATCCAAATGAAGTTATTAGTGTTTTATAATGTGATTCAATTTCTAATTATAATTAATATGTAAACAATTTGGTCGTGTTGTAATTAGGTAGTTAAGAGTCAAGAATATCGACAGTGCGTGTTCCAGTTCACATGTTTATGTGTTTAGAAAGAGAAACGTGCAAATTGGAAAGAGACAAAAATATTATAAGAACCATGCTGTGAATTTGATGTAAATTCAGCATTATTAGAAGAATATAAAAGAAGAGGTGCATCCCAGTAACATTATATTAATTAGATAAAGGAATGTCTAATCCTTAAAAAGAGTTGTATTGGATTGACCAGTAGTATTTAGTAACAAAATTAGTTTTTAGAGCAGCTTGTGCAAATCTCGTAAAAGTGGCAATTAGAAAGTATTGACATCAAGAAAGGGATCAGTAGGTACCCCATACGATCATTGACTTTAGAACATAACGCCTTAAAACAGCGAAGGATATATAAAAAAAATAACATCGCTAAGCATGTTTGACAGAATCATATGGGTTACTAGTGATATTAAAAACGTGCAAAGAGATAAAAAAGTGCATTGAAAATTATAAAAAGGGAAGAAAAAAACGTAAAATAAAAACACAGATATGGTTCTAAGTGCTCCATCGAATCAAACCTGTTATATCATAGACCTACGAGAAAAATACGATGACACGTTGGGTCTCGTGGCGTCGTAACATAAAAAAATCACAATGAGTAACCAAAATAGAACAAAAGTCTAAAAACAGGACTAAAAATAAATGAACACCCATAAGCTGAAACAGAATTCAATAACATAAAAGATAGATTAAAACTAGTAATAGAACAACACGGCCAAATTGCAACGTACGTTTACCTGATTGAAGATCAAGAATATATAATCTAGTGGTATACTAGAGATGAGGTCAAGGAAGAACCATGTCCTCAAATAGTGCTTCGCTATTAACTTGGGATCTAATATCACTTGTTCTGCATTATCTTGCTGCATTATTCCTGGAAAGATAAGAGATACGGTAATTTTTTTTTTACTGGAAGAGAATTGAGAATGTATAAATCAAAATTGTGAACGCGGGTTGAGTCAGCAAAACCTTTGGTACGGACATTAAAGTAGATGTAGAAATAATATTAAAAGAACAGCTGGAGAACAATCTAATTTATCTTTTGAAACTTCAGGATTGATTACTAAGCAAATGTAACAAGGCTTTAAGAGACGGCTTCTGTGGTTAGCATATAGGACACTTGATGTAGGTTTGCCCCGTTTAGGTCACTAAGTACCAATATGGTTTAGTTCTCGGTGTTTTGGGAAGTGTCCTGTGAACTTCCCCAGATTGAGGTCAAATATTGTAAACCTTCACATGTATAACAATGGTTTTTAATTTTTAACCGACTTTACAAAAAGGAGGTATTTTTTATGATACCAAGTGACGGGACGGTCAAATCGTGGTCCAGGTGGCAAGCGACTCGCCTGTCCGTAACAGTTACAGTAACCAAAGCTCAGAGTTTAAAACGCAAAGATTTGAAAGGTAATACTGCGACATAAGTTGACAAGTCCCATGTGCCTGTAATTTCACCAGTACCCTTTACCCTTTGAAACCGGAACGCAGTAATGCTCACATTAGTGCTTGGCGGCAGAAATAGCTATCGTATCAATACTTCCCTGATGAACTCTTTCACAAGGAACTTTACTACTACTACTGGAAGGTTCTCAATTCGACTGCATTCTTTTGTGTGTATATGTTACGCGATTACTCCGACATTTGTGAACCGATTTCGATGATTCTTGTTTTGTTAAAAAAGGGGGTACCTCAATAGTGGATCTATTCTAATTTGGAGAAAATATTCCACCTCTAAGGATAGCCAATTAGGAGATGAATCCGGTTTATTGGATTTCACTCACTTTCCGTTCACCGATTTCAATAAAACTTGACAAATACTTAGATGTAGTTTCATAAAATTTTAAGGTCGGTTCTTTTTATAAAAAAAGCCGTGTCCGAGGCATCCGAGCCTCGTACGTGCCGCACGATCTTAAATTAGACAGAGTCAGAGAGTGTTCACATTACAATGAGCCGATGCGGGCCGGGCTGCATCCGAGGCTCGGAGGACCTCAGAAGCAGCTCGGGCTCGTCCGTGACACGGACGCGGCACGTTGTAATGTGAACTACTTCATATAAAATGTACGCAGCATTTCCAATCTGAGCCTCGTACGTGACTGGGCTCGCGCCCGGCACGGTGTAATGTGAATAGTCTTTATGCGTAAATATTAACATTTAGAATGTCAATATATAAAAGTCCTGGAGTTACCTATATTAAAATAATAAAATGAAAATTCTCACCTGTTCTAAAATTAACAACGATATCTATAAGGAATATTGTGTCGGAGAGACAGTTGAAGGCAATCCAGCGCGTACTGAGGTCGTCATTGAAGAAGGAAATGGCCACCGGCAGGATAATCAGGTTTGCCACCAAAAGCAACAGCATGCACAGGTCCCAGTAGAATCTGAAGCAAGCGAAATATACCGATGAGTATTTTTGGAAAATTAAAAAAAAAATTATTCACCAAGCAGTACAGCTTCTTGTGTAATGTAAATTGGGCGTTTACGTGATCATAGTAAAACTATTGTGTGGGTATGCATCACTTCACATATTACGTACAGTGTGATGTACAGGGGGTTTTAGGAAGCTAAATAATAATACGTGTTATTAAACGCAAACAATCTATAAACTAATGCTTAATGTAGTAGGTTTTTAAATCAGCATTAAACTATTTTGTCTTCCGTTTTTGTACCAGTACGTCGCACAAGGTATCACTAGAAGTGGACCTATGCGAACTGCAAGCCAGTGATTACCGCGAGATTGCGTAGGACCGAAGAAAGACGAGATGAGACGTAATCTCGTTTCGGAGGCTAAGGCACTGTTTGAATAGGGGAAGGAAATATTACAGAATGCTACTGTCTTCGTCCAGACTTACATTATTACAGTATTCATAGTTTCTGAACAACTACGATAAATGTAAAATTTTTTAATGATTATTAAATGTTTTAAAATAACTAACTGTAATTTAGAATTAAAACGAAAAAATCTGAACGCATTGTGGCGTTACAGCTTGCAAAATCAGTAAGCTTATGTGGCAGTGAGTCGGACATGTTTGCAGAGGAGCGGAAGATGGACGGACGATCTGATAAAGATGCGGATGGCATCCAACCGCTTTACGACCGGGAGAGTTGGCGTATTCATGAACTTATGTCCAGCAGTGGATGCGTGTAAGCCGATAATGTGGCTTCATATTAACTTTTATTATTTTATATGCAGTAGAACAAGCTGTCAAAGCGCCGTAATTTATATCACAAAATTATTCTACATAGTTTCAAGAATTCTTAATGCACCTACTTCCAGGTGACTAAGAATTCTTGATGTTAACTACGAAATATTCTAAAGTTGTTCGGTAGATGTTTCAAAAGAAAAGATGGAAACTTTGCTGTAGCTTTTATTCAAAGTTAGTAAACTTAAGAAATATTGTCTCTTCTATCCAGAGACTACAGAGCCACTTAGTGTTAGGAGTCAGGAACAAGAGTCCTAAGTAGGGTTTATCTGAACTCCGATTTTAAGTATTGTTTTATGATATCAAGTGACGGGTCGAACAAGTCGCGCGCCTGGTGGTAATCGACACGCCTATCCATAACAGTTGCGGTGTCATTCAGAGGTTTATCTGAGGGGCACTGCTAATGCACCCGTCACCATGAGACATTATAAGTTGACATGGTCCTTGTGCCTGTAAATTCACCAACACACATACGGTTCCAAACCGGAATGCAGTCATATTCACACTACTGCTTGGTGGCAGAAAGAGGTAAAGTTATTTGAGAAACGAATTTTTCTAAATTGGTTCTGGTCTGGGTGTTCAGAGTAGTGCCCCGGAGTGAATTTCGTTGCTCTAATTCTCATAGTACAGGGAATTCCCTAGTTTCAACGATCTGGTTATTTGGCGCATTGTTATTATTTTTAAATAAATGTAATAAATAAAAAGATTTTTCATCACACTTGCACATTGCAAGCAGGCTAACTTGACTATAATGCCCCAAATAAATCCGTCGGGCTGTTTATCTTCTCATTACCGACTATAGAAGAAAAAAGGTCATATGTAATCATACTACATTTTTAAACCTCGACTCTGAAAGCCCTCGGTCTTCGACTTTGGGCGTCTAATAGTCTCGTTCGTAATTCCTTATTTACAGCCCTTAATACACATTGTATTATTGTTTTTCAACACAAAAGATAAAACATTTGAAATAAAATATTTAATTGTTTAAAACTGTATCGAAGAAAAGGTGAAAGCCTTAGCAATTTGCTGGTTCTCAGGTTTCATCTGGCAAGTTGTCGTCGCTGGAGACATACATAATACACGTATAGTACATTAGCGATCGCAGTAGTGCTGCACGTATTTCAATTATCACTCTTAATATTGTAAAGGGAATTACACTGTACTCCGTAAAACGAACTTCTGCCAGGATTCCTCCACGCCTTATGGTGTCTGATTCAAGTAGCCCGTTAGCAAACCCAAGTGTGCTGAGATTAAACGATTGCATGAAGGTCATTTTGCGATCAGTTAGGATTGAATTATACTATAATTGAGGGAAAATACTATTTGATATTATATTGTCATTATCAGAGATTGGCCTATTGGCAGGGTATATTACCCTAAATCTGGTGATACATATAGAGAGTTTGACACCAGCTTCTGAAGTTCCGGAGCGATTAAAAATACGAAGAGAGACATCAAAACTAAAATAGTTATATTTTTAAACACCTTCATAATGAGGAGGTTATCATTTCGACTGTGTTTTTTTATATGTATACACGCAATTACTCTGACATTTGTAAACCGATTTCGATAATAGTAATAACGCATACACTCAATATAGCTCCGCAGCAGGGAAACCCTGTGTCGCGGGTACCATAGACACATAAATAGACAACCACAAATTACACCCAAACTCACGAGAGAAATAAATATAGGCTATATAATTGTTTCTCTCGGCCCGGGAATCGAACCTGGGACCTCTGCGTGGCAGTCCGGTATGATAACCGTTCGGCCAAGGACGCAGTGAAATGATTGACAGTCAGATGATTCTTTTTACTGTTGGAACTACCTCAGTAGTGGTCCTGAATTCTATTTCAAATTCGAATTTAAAGTCGACTAATTCATATTGGCATTACAAACTAGTTACGCATTAAAAATATAAAACAAAATACAATACATTCTACGTGTATTGTATTTTCAGGATGTGTAGGTAAATATTACACCGCCTCTTTCGATCTCTGGATCATTATTTGGATATATGTATGAATCATTCGTTATAAAAAGCTATATTTAATAAAATATAATGATGGTTCTAGAAAATATTTTCATTGTTCTCAATAAAAGAAGATACAAAGTTTATCCTTTATGGACCGTGCGACTCTACTCGTACAGGCCAGGAAAGTTGGGAAATCCATTTGTGTCCGTCGCTCTGAACTTTTAAATCTATCTACTAACAATGAACTAGTATGTGAACAGACTATAGAAAAACTATAAAAAATCTGTCAAAGATTTCTCATAGATGGCGCTACGACTAAAAAGTCGTTGAAAAACCAAATACAAAGACACGACGCAAGCACATAGAAAAATTCGTGAGGTCCGTTGGTTCGTTCCGTGGCTTAGTTGGTATAGCGTCTGGCACGGTATGCAAGAAGACGTCGGTTCGAATCCGACCGGATCGAAGGATTTTTTTCTGAGTGTTCGATCTTTGTATTAATAATTGTAACAAACTAGTGGAGTAATTTCACAAAAAAATTGTTGAATATCAATTCAATAAAAATTTAATTAATATAGAAAAACTGTCATGCAACCAACTGCTTACTAGTATCTGTCTTATTATAATATTTATCTACTTTTTTATTATACATCTTTTCCTCCTTTCTTTACTTTTTTATTATTTAAGAAAAGCGCTATATGTGTGTGGAACAAGGATTGCCTGATTCGTATAATAATTGTAACTCTTACGTAAGTAGTAGTAGAGTAGCCAACAGAGTAGCAGTACCCAGAGAGTCAAAGAGTTGGTCCAGGGAAGTACCACCTTACCTATTTCTGCAGTAGTTGTATGCTTTTGAGAAACTATACAATTTAATTATGCACCTAATATACAACCTTTCACCAGCAAATATAATTATATACGCACTTCAAAATATTTGAATAGGAAGAACGACTTTACTTCTAGTTCTACAACTAAAACGACGTTTTAGGAAGTTACTAAGTTTAAAGCCAGAGTAGAAGTTAGAAATTCAATGACTGTTGAATCTATATTTCTATAGTACTTTTAGTGATGGGAATTGCTTGGTATTACTAGTTACTGCGCAGGTGTGCAAGGCTTAAACGACAGATGAGGTCATTTCACGCGCAATTGCGGGCTGAATCGCTCTGTATTGGATAATTGCAATTGTGCACCGTCCGCTACCTGCTATTGTCACAGGTTATTCTTGCCGAGTACCCACCTGTCGCAGCCTATTATTTTGCGATTTGTTTCTTGTAGCTAATTTTAGTTGTCTCGATGTGAGTTTAGTGCGCAGTTGGTGCTTTCTGGTTTCTAAGTCAAAGCGTTGTTCTCATCTCAATTTCGCTAGACATGACGATTACGCTAGTTATTATAAGGATGACACTATTAATTACTATTTTATTGTTTCATTAATTGTAAATTTAATTTATTTTGAATTTTTACTTTTGACAAAATTTCAGTGGATTTTATATTACGTATATTGACAACTACTACACAGTACTACAACTATTTTGACAAAATTTTAATGTACACTTCATATACAATATACCGTATATTCACCATACAGTCAGTTGTTACTAATTTAGTACAAGGTTGCTTACTAACAAACTATGGATCTATGGTGTCTGAAAAAAAAAAAAAATATTTTTATTTTATTTATTTACTTTTTTCCTAGTTATGTAAGTTGTAGGTATACTGAATTTTGAAAACTATGTGTTTTTCAGAATTTTTCTTCCAAGTGGTCGTTTTCTCTGGATTTTTTCTTGCATGACTTGTTATGACGAACGACTATGACGATGCATGACTAATTAAAACGACTACCTGGGATCAAGTCGTATTTCTCATTACGCATTATATGACCAAAGTACTGTAGTTTGTGTTTTTTGACAGTACTCATCTAATTTCTTATTCACCATCTACAATACAAGTACTCTTTCGTTGGACACTCTATCGGTCCACGATATTTTCAAAGTTCTTTTATTTTACTCTTTATTTATTTAGGGGCTTTAATCGTTATTGAACATGTCAAATTCTAGTTCTATCTACAGAAAATTTGAGTTTTAAATAGTTTTCTGCTATAGAAATATCGTTGAAAACTTAATTAGAGCTATTTTTTTCACCGACCGACTAACTACGGTAGGCTAAAGATAGCCTGGTGATATTGTTATTTCATCTTTCCTTTGTTGCT